CGAGGTCGGGCTGCCCTTGTTATTCTTGAAATATAATTTACTTAAATGCTACTTTATCTAAGCAGGCATGTTTCTTTATTTTCTATCGTAATGACAGCTGGATATGTTTTTTTATACATCGTAAGAGATAGATATTTTTATGTGAATTACGATCGTCATTTAGATCTACTTTCCTAATTTCTGAAAATTATTTTATGTTCGTACACTGCACATTTTAAAGTCATAAAAGTCGTTATTAAATTCGTTCAACAGTCGGCTCAATTCAACACAAATTTTGTCTTTTGCGAGATCCAAATCGTTCACTGTTGTTCATTTGACTTTTTTCTGCTTAGTACTTCAAGCTACCGGTAATAGTAAACGCCTCTCGCATGTCCTCTTAATAATTAAGGTATCTACTGCTTCTGAGCTGTACGAAGCATGGTCATATCTCTTCCCATTAGTCTATATGCTCACACCTGTTGAGCCGGCTTAACTGATGGCTTCCTTCCTACTGAATTACTTACAATATTTCACTTCTGCCCGGTCGACAAATGCGCAGCTTCCCCGGCGCTATCGACATCTATCCCTGAAATCAATCAGTTTTAGCTACTGCTCTTTGGTCAGTCTTGATGGATTGTAAATAAAATACGGTTGCTCCCCGATGATCGCGAACACGTTCAAGTTAAACGTATTATTTGTCATTCTTAAGCCTTACATTAAAATTATCATTTGACCTACCTAGAATAGTTAACAAATTAATAAGGGTTAATCATTATTGCTTGGCATGTTCTCTTATGTTGTCTTATGCTAGCTCTTTTACTTCAATTTTGTATACCCATGCTCCATATTAGATATTTTATAAAGTACGTTACCGATTCTCGCCGTGCGAGGTTGCTTAGATTTTCCTTAGCAAAGTTTTACCTAACATTTGTGGTTGAAATTCAGTTTATTTACTTGTGCCGTACCCCGTTATGCAGAGGGGGTGGGGAATGACTGGTGCCGTTGGTCGAGGGGAAGAGTGAGGGTAACCCAGAGCTTGTGGGTCCTGAAGTTGCCAGTCTTCATCCGGCTTTGGTGTTCGCGATCGAATTTCTGAACGCTCAAGTTTAGTTGTTTTTCTGACGAAATTTTGGTAGAAACTGCCGAAAAAAGTTGTTTTCAAAGTAAATACTATGAAATTGCTTTAAAAATTTATTGACGTTCATTTGTTCAAAGTTTTCATTTTGAATGAAGTCATACCATAAAATGTTGACGTTGACGTGCGCCACGAAAGTCACTATAGGAAGAGACTAATATCTGTGGCAACGCATTTATACTTGTCACAGATTCCAACTATAAAAGTTATAATAAATAAACTAAATTCTTAATGTTGAAAACATGCATTTGAATGGTATCATAACTATGACGCGTGCCAAAACTTACCAAGCTTAGACTGAACCTTGGTTGTCTAGCACGCTGCGGTGGCCGCCTGTCTTCTCGAAATAGCGTCGGTAAGCGGCGTGTTCTGTGACTGCTCGTGCTCTCTTGACACATAAGTAAGACACCGGTGCTCAGAGGTATAGTCTATGCCAGAGTAGACGTTCAAATTATTTTACTATTTATCTTCACGCCGAGTTCTGCCGGTGTTGGCGGTATAAAAATCCCCGTGGCGTATTCATGCGATCGTGATATTAACGCGCTGTGAAATCGCGATGAAAAAACGAGTCTTCGATCTGTAAAAGATTATCTCGTATATTTCTTGCACAATTTCCTGGCGAATTAATTAGGTACGATGGCATAACAACTGCATAACTGTAGCTTCTTTCATCTCGCGGTTCACGCTCGTGCTTCTGACGCAGTCTCCCGACTACCGCAGTTAAAACGGGCAGCCTCTCGCACAGTGCCATGCCTTACGTCTCAAGGGTGGCAGCGTTTTCATAACCGGCTACTTGAGAAATGAAACATCACTGTTACCTCTGAGAATTTGCGCGATATTTTCGAAACAAAAAGTAACGTTGACAAGATTTTAGTGTTTACTATTTCAAGTTATATAAAAGTTTGATTCAGTGAGGAACCGCTAGGTTGTTGCCGCAATTTTCCTTGAAATTTGCAAGAAAACGACTGCTTGTGGTCTGTGAGGAGAGTTTTGTGGCAGACTGTTTAATTTCCTGGGCCCTTCAAACGTGTTGGTACCTGAGTAAACTTTGCTGACGTTTAAAACTACAAGCTTCAATAAATTTCCCGTGTTATGTCAGCTCGAGATTGACTGTGGTGCTTAAGGGCATAAATCTTGTGAACATTACCTTCATCGTGGCGGGACAAATTTTGTTATGGTTGTGGTGGGCAGGGAGCATACTGTGTCATTGGGTGAGTGAATTCTTCATTTGGTGGAATCGAGGTGCTTTCTTTGCCAACGATCCTGAGGACCGATCTTACGACGATGACTTCCGAAGGGCGATTGACCGACCAATTCTTGACACGAGCCACTCCAACTCATCGGAAGTCGATGCAAATGTGCTACCAAGTTCTGGATTCACAAAGAAACATTCCACCAAATATCGTCGAAGAACCCGGGCAAGCTACTACCTTGGTGACGACATGCCTACCGTTCTGCGCAAAGGGTATCTCCCTGCTGTGGCGGTCGGTAAAAGTGATCATGCGGTGTACGGTCGTCATGAAGACCGCAGTTTGATGTCTTACCTAAGACATCTGAGCGTTACGTATGCGGGACAGGATGCGCTTGAACCTTCCTCGAGACGAAGAAAGAAAAATTATCATCGGCGAAGCTCCATTACCCAAATTTTGAATAGTCTCCAGTCTACTCTACTCATGCTGGTACAGTGTACTGAATTTTACATTCATTTACGAAGTTTTTGATAGATTTGAATGCGTGAAGTATGCACTGATAAATTATTTGTTAATTTTTACTGTATTCATGAAATTTTACGACGATCAATATCAACTACTTACTATACATCCGGTGATCCCTAATTTATTTCTATTAGTCGGCAGGGCTGTTAATTTTGACTGTTACTTCGCATGACGTTGATTTAACCTCTCTACCCGGAAGCTTTGCCTCGTAGTGGGCGTAGAGGTCGAACGAATGCTCAAGTTGGCGCGCGTTATCCCGCGTGTTAGCGAGCACCTGTAGAGACTCATTGCCATTACCTTGCAGTTCAAAGCTGTCTTGTTTTTGGAGGTGGGGGCTGACGTTTAGCTTTGCAGCAGCCGACGTTGCTTCGTCGCCAGACCCAGCAGCTTTCAGTCGGTGCCACTGTACTGCAAAGCAGGCACTCTTTTCCTTGCTACGGTGGTCGTGGTGCGGATGGTGGTCGTGGTGCGCATGGTGGTTGCGCTGGTGGTGTTGCAATGGTGGTGGACACGACAACGTTCAAATTCGAGCAGCACCGTTGTTCCTTAGCCAAGTAGTATTGCTGCCACCGCGACCATCGTCGCCCCCGAAGACTTGCGTTCGTTCAAGGTCCTGACACGGATAGTTAACCAGGGCACCTTGCTTATTTCTTCTCATTAACAGTGACGTTACTCTTCGCGGTTATTTTTGCGTGCTTTTTGATGTTTTAACTGTAGGTCAATGTTTTCTTATCTAAGAGGATTTTATTGTCGAAATCATCCAGTGCAATTTTTTTTATCTCAACTTAAGCTCTGATTAAATTTTTTATTCAATCTATATGGTTCCATTATGAGAGTTCTTCGCTCTTTTAGCTCATGTTTGACAAAAAGTCTAACCAAAAACACGGCTTATTCTAAATAAACGAATTTTTGCTTATCGCTGGCTAACAACTTTTTAATTTACCGCATGTCTGTACGATGCGGAACTATAAGTGCATTTGAATATCACTAATGAATGAGCAATGGCACGACAACGGCGCTACTACGTACCGAGCTCGTCATACTATGACGGGCTCTCCTCATACGGGTCACGTCCTTCTATTGGTTCCTACACGAACAGGACTTCTTACGCACGTCTTTTGTCGTCCATACGACGACCATCTTTGTATGGAACTCAGCCCAGCTACCCAACTACATACGGGAGGAACTACCTTCAGGTACTATCGTTAGTGTTCAATTTTACGTCACTACAGCTACCGATGAATTTGAAGCTAGAACCAAGAAGGAATTGCGTGTTTTGCTCACACTTATGTCTTCCTCGCGTGATTTATTGTTAGCATTTATACCTCTCATGGAAATCCAAGATAAAATCGTACGATATTTTGTTTAATCCGGGTTCAGAATGAAATCTTTATTTAGTTTTCATCAGCTGAAAATCTTTGCTAGTTATGACTAGCAGTATCATGCATTGGTATTTTATGAGTTTCACTGTTAGCAGTTTAATGCGGTCAACCATGAACTTCCGGCACTGGGGAGTGAATTCGAAAATTGTGCAATTAATTTTTTTTTTATTAAATTTTTAAAGTTTTTATTGCACGAATCGCCATTAGATTATAAGTTTCTTGAAAATGACAGCTGAGATGACGGCTCGCTTAATTTTTTCACGACCTGACCTTCCAGTTGGTCCCAAGTTTACGAATTAGCTCCAAAAACCTGTTGTAATTTGGAGTGATATTTTTTGCTCTTAAATGCCTCTAAATATTTCTTGAAATCACTTCTTCTCCCTACGTGCATTGTCGCCCAGTGACATCAATGCCAAGCAACCTTGTTCCTTGCCCTAAATTTTCTGAACAGTTGTGCTCTCGAAGTTTTATTACGTTAAAATTATATATGTGAAAACGGCATCACCGGTGCTGGCTAAATCTTTTGATCGGTGACAATTTCTGGGCCTATCTTGGCCTATTGCAGCTTGCAATTCAATCATAGCATTTTCACGCATTCACTGTCGTATAAGTACTGCATTATTTTTTTACTGCATTGAAAAAAGCGTCTGCCCTTGGTTGTGTGCAAAATTGATGCAAAATTTGCTGGCACATTTAATAGTTCTGAAGAATAATATTCTGCGCGCAGATGGACACTACTTGCTGACATTTGCTGTTTAAAATTTGTATTCATTTTAGCTGATGCCAAATTCTTGTATTTTATTTCTAGCGGCAACTAAATTGTTAGCACGTCGTTTTTTGGGCTGGTGGCTGTTAGAAGAGTGGCGGTTGGCAGCCTCAGAGCTTTGCCCAAACCAAGTCGTGCAGTCGAGATATTTTTATCCTTGGCCACCATCACCTACCTACCTTCTTGGCCAGCTCTCATTCTGATGCTTCAGTTACACTTGTGCCTCTTCATCGCTCCCACTATCTCCGCATTTCTCTACCATCGTGTCGCAAGTTTCATCAGTTTACAGTGCCTTACCTTTCTTTAATTCGTGATTTTGCTCAATGAAATTAGAAATAAATGGCTCTTGAGCAAACACTATTGTTTATATCTAGATAAGTTTCGTGATGTGTGACATTCCCGCCGAATGATATTTGGTCTGTACCAGAGTACAAAATTGCAATTAAAATCATTTTCATCGGCCATTAGATGGGACACGGAATCGCTTTCAATGTCCGATCGAAATCAAAATATAGTTTCATGTGACGATTAAAATTTGAATGCAAACTTCTGCAAATATCTAACTCTCTCATGCATTATTATTTGCTCTAATTAACTCTCTTGATACATTGGAAAAATTTTTATTCAGGCGTTAACGAAAATGTTGGACATAAGAAGGATCAATATTTGAATTCTAAAGTTGTGTGAACCCAATATCGTGCCGTGATGTACACTCGCCATGAGCGGGAGCAGGCCAAGGCGTCACTACGGCCGAAGTGCCACCACTTGTTACGCAAATCTGCTGCCAGACGCCTCTGGTGATATCCTCAACCGCTGCTCAACTCTCTTCTCGAAACTCACTTCCCGCGTTCGATCTTCTTCCCAAACTGCCGAAGATCGTTTCACTTTGACTTCTCCTAACGCTTCTTCCTCTTCTTCATCAACAATGTCTTCGCACATACCCCCACGCGTGTCGTCTTATTCTCAATACCCTATGCTACTCAAGTACAGTAAGTACGATGATCCAAGTCGTTATGAAAGGTATTCTGATTTGAAAAATAGTGCAACCTCATCGCGCTACGATGATCCTTCTTCCTCGCCTAGGTTCAAAACACGTGCACCGGGTTTGGCACCTTCAGCATCGTTCTCATCTTTTTCTAACTATAAATCTGACTACGGCAATGACTATCCTCGTCGTGAAAGTGACTACACACGACCAGATGTTAGTTACTCAAGACGGGACACAGATTTGCCCCGCCGGGAGACAGATTACTCAAGTAAACCTACCGACCTCAGCGTACGGACTGGTGTCGGCGACTCCACGCGCCGAGACGATCACTTGGATGTAGGTGTAGGTGGTCGCCCAATTCGTGGCATCCACAGTAGTACGAGTAGCTCTCACATTTCACCCAATCAAGAGAAAATAAGTTCACGCTATAGACCCAGTAGATTCTTGAAGAGCAATCTTCTGAAAGGGAAATGCGACGAAGGAGATGAAGACGCTTTATTGATTAGAAATCCTAGCACCAAACAACCTGACTATTGGTCTCATTACTCTGCTATGTCTCCTACGTATCTTCTGGAAAAGTATTCTGCTGCAGATAAAAAGAAAAATGAAACCCAACTACGTCAGAAATATGGACTTGACAGTACACGATATCGACCTACAACTCTCACAGAGCGCAAGAGCCCGAGGACCCGCATCCTTGAGTCCTCTCCTGACAACACTGCAGCGATTCTCCGTCGAAGAGAGTGTGCACAGCTCATTAACATGTACTCGCTACCGATAGACACCTTGCAGAGTATCGATAAATCGCGAAAATTCCGAAAAAGAGGGCAGGACGGAGGCGAAGGAGAAACTACGAGTAGATTCGACCAAGTGAAATTGATGGCTGCTCAGGTGAGTTTACGTGCGGATGAAGATGCGTCTTTTGGTCCTCCTAGGAAAGTTTTGTATGGCAGTGCGTCTACCGGTGATATGTTGTCTTCTCTTTCGAAGGGAGGGACTCAAAAGTCATCTGGAACATCGGGAACCCCTTCTGTCCACAGCACACCGGACTCGGACAAATTCGTCTTGCATGATCCTCCAGTCGTCTTTGAAAAAGCAGCAATGAAAGAGAAGCCTCCCCCACTGCGACCAACTTACCTATTCCTTAGCGATCAGTATGACAAGTATCCTTACTCTTCCAGTGACTATATCGGAGCCTACAGTGCTAAATCGAGCGATGTTCCCAGCAATGCGACCACATCCAGTGATCCCAGCACTCCTCTCTCTAACGTTAATATCAACTTAAGTGATAACTCGAGTTCCACGCCTTCGTCATCTTCGCATGAACCAACTTTAGGTAACCCACCCAAACCAGAAACGAAAAATGAACGATTGTCTCCCATGAGCACGATCAGCAGTCTTCCTTCAAGTTATTTACCAAGCACGTATTGTCCAGCCACTAGATCCAAACTCGTTGATTATTGTTCGAAACCGTCCATCACGGTGTCCAACTATCTCGACGATATGCCTCAAGATTTGTCATTCTCCACGTTCAGGCCTAACGCAACCGCGACCACAACCTCAGCCCAAGGGGGTCCTACTACTTATGTTGCTGGCGTTGCTTACGTGGAGGCTTTTCAACCAAAACCAACTGCGATCACTTACGTATCCTCTGTGCAGGCCAAGCCTTCTGTAGCTGGAATATCGTACGTCGGTGTGCCAGAAGCTAAGGCTGTCGACTTATGCTCTACCGTCAAAACCAATGCAGCAACAACTACGACTTTAACGGACTCGACTCAGCATGATGTGGATGACGCTTATGCCTTGGCGCACTACAAATCGCTCGCAATTAAAGGGGTCGGCATGGGATCACGGGCCAACTTGGGCAATATTTCGGACTCGATTAACGGTAACACAGGAACTCGCAATAAGAATGCTGCTGACGTCAGCAATGACACCGCGTACAAAAATGCGATCACAAGCCGCCTCAATAACGGGCCTACAACGCCCAATGAACTTCGGCCGATTCCTGTCGCCGGTGAACCTACGAAGACCAGCAAGTTTTCGTCCCTTTATGGGTCTAGTAGCGTGAGTAGCGACGATGTGAGTTAGCAAGACGGACGGAACCATCGCGATGTAGTCTTAATTGCATGAACATTTTGGCAATATTCTAGCCTGAAATAGTTTTGTATATGCTGTGTGGTGATTGTCCTGCTAGCCACATCCTGCCATCTAGAATTTCACTGTTCGCGACTGGTATGACTCTCACAAAGCTTTTCATTCATCAACTATCAAGTGTTGGAGTCTTGATGTCCATCACATTCTAGTTGTGTTCCGTGCTGACTCGCATCCTCGTTCTTGCACTGCTAAACCCGTGGGAGTTTGGCGGGGGTACATCAACTTTGCGTTGACAACGACGCTGCTTCTGGCTTGCTCTGCATGTGTAGCTTATCCACGCTCAACTCGACTCTCGTTCTTCCAACGAATCATGATCTCTTGTTATTCCGCTTATCCTAAAACCATTTCATCCTATATGTGATACCCTAAGGCTTCAATAGGTTTGATTTAGAACAATTGATTGTTTGGGCCTCGAGACACGTTTCCAAAATATTTACTAACACAACTGAGACTCAAAAAAATAACTGGACTAAACATAATTTCATGAAATCGAAATAGTGATGAATTGAATAATAAACCACGAACATTTGTTTTTGTTCGGAAGCTGCGGAGTAATCGACGTACATAAAATAATCTTGTTTTTGCCTTTTCATTTTTGCGGCGCAAGCAGTGCAAGCGATTGAGGTTGCGAGCGAGCCTGGTGTTTTCGAGATTTGGCAAATTGAGACCGAATTTTCAAGAGAAAAGATTTGCAAAAATGCAATAGATCAAACTCTTGATTGCTTTCAGATTCAGGCGAATTTAATCTCGCTTCAAAATTGGGGATGAAATTATGCCATCGATTTCTTCCTACTTTAGGGTATTAAAGAATTGCTCATACATCAGTCATGCTCAAATAACTGTAGCTTTTATATGTTTGCGAGCCTCGACCTTTTGATGTGTTGGCTGGCATAAGAAGCTAGGGCTCCAAGATATTCTTATGACATTTATATGTCATTCAGCCTTTGAAACTACAAGAATTTTTTCATAATCATTAATTTACTGTACGTGTTTTTTGATAATGATTCAAAAAAGCGTCCTACTTTATTTAAATGTATCTGTTTTGGCTCGATGATGCGTTGACTTGAGCCAAATATTTCCGGCGCCATGTTATTGCTTGTGTCGACGCGATCAGAGAAACACTCACGCGTGAATCGTTAGTGCAAATTCGTTTGAACGTCCTAAGAATTATAATCGCTCGCTCTTATGTTTCTCATTAAATTCGACAATGGATTAGTTTTTCCTCGGCGCTTAAGTAACGAATTAGAATTCTAACAAATTCGTGAACACATTCGAATTCAATTATTTTCGTGAGCGATTCTTGAGTAAAGTGGAGTGGAATCAATCCCTATTTTTGCATCGAAGAGTGGCTATGTTATTTACTGTAAATATACGTTATATCCCTGATTATTTTTTTCGTATTTTTCAATATTACAGCCAAGAACTTGAATATTTCACATTGTCGTCTAATAAATTACAGAAATGTAAGTTTTTCGTGAAAAATCAATCTTTTTAAATTTCACATTTAAATAAAACATATTATTAGACAGAATGACTACGAACATTTATTAGTACTCCTAGAAAAATTTGGTCTGTTTTCTTGTATTTATAAAAAATTTTCGATTGCGACGCACTTTCGCGTCGTATGTGTTTGTATGTGCGTATCTTTGGCCTTTTTGGTGCATTGCATTGCTGAGTCTTGTGTGACGGTGTCTTTTGGTGCTCATGCAGGGAATGATTGGTGCGTGGTGTCATGAAATGAATGAGATGAATTGCATCACGATTTCAATATTTTCGGTGCTTCCTCTAGCGTTATGATGCGTGTGTGTGTGTGTGTGCGTTATACTCGCATTCATGAACAGTATCGCTTTCAAACGCACCCGTAATGAACTTGAAAATTGTATAAAACATTTGTTTACTCATTTATCGAATAAATGAGCCAATGAATTCATTTACATCGGCATTTTTTTATTTTGATAAAAAGACCAGCTGACAAAGATGATTTACAGTGCCACGGGTGCGCTTGATAGCCCTCTTACAACAATGATTTACGGTCATTGTATTTTTTGGTTTTACGGCCTTGATCTCGATATTCATGGCCGTAAGACAACTCCCATTTATCATGTTTTAAGCTCTATTTTTGGGGTGTGTGGGACATTGAGTAAGCTAGACGCCCTTGTGCATCTTGTTTCTTGTCCTTTGTACTGGTCGGTGACTGCCGCTGATGCTCCTGCTGCCTGCTCATCCTGAATGCTACAACAACTCCCGTAACTCGTTCTCACGGAACAACGCGTGTGCTCCGCCCCCTATCTACGATGACGCGGTTGCCGGTGGTCTCCTCCTGTGACGATGTTGTGCGGTGCAGAGCTCAAGAGCCCCTTCTGTCGAAGACGATGAAGATGGCCACCTCATATATCGCAATGGAGACATACTGCAAGATCGATGTGTGTGAATTTCCTCCTAAAGTTCAGTTGTTATGGAAAATTCTCCAGCTTGCACGATTAATAGTTCTTAAATAACTATAGGATGTGTTAGCGGAGAATCTTTCATAGCTACTGCGCGTTGGGTTTCTTGCAAACAGAGGTTCATCACTCACTCATGAAATAATTCTATTAATTCATTGATGATAAATTACTTTCAGCAGAATCTCTGTTTCTTTCTATCTCTAACTAATCTGTCCGGATAACAAAGAACACTTTATCCTTCACTCTTCAAACATACACACACTCATAACATGTCTGAGAACTAATAATATATCAACCTATGGCATTATCACACTTACTACACTTCTTCTTACTATTATCGGGAATTCGTGCTTTCCTGGACTATCGAGGATTGTTTTTATTTATGTAGCCGTTCGTTGTCATCAGATGCTCGTTAATTGCATCTTATATTACCCTTATTTATCTTAAAATTGTAATGTTTTCTTTTTAAAATTGAGTGTAGGTTTTTTGATAAGGGAATTAGGATGGGTTTTTTCTATTTAATATTACGTCATTCGTACGCGATAGAAATTTTTCTTTGTTATTAATACGTTTGTGTTCTGTTTCTCCTGCAGATAAGATTCTTGCTACTCTGGGCGAAGGAACTTTCGGCAAGGTGGTCAAAGTGAGGGATCTTACATGGTAAGTTATTTATTCGTTATTTTATGTTTAGATATTAACGGTAGATGTATAATAAGGAACTCATTGAAGTCCGCATGCAATCGCTTAAGACGTTAAGTAGCTTTCTGATTGATATGAATGAATGAATTGAATGAGGTGAACATAATGAATCGAAACTTAGGCATTAAATTGGTCGAGTATTTTGATATTCTTTGTGAGTGATGTCGCAAATGGTATTTTGAGTTTTCCTTGCGATTTATAATTTGAAATAACTTTTAATATGAATAAAAGTAAGTGTATTTATAGACTAGGTTAATTGATTGCATTAATCTGAATATAATATTATTAACTAATGGCTCAGGCTTTTAACATAAATAATGAGCCCACAAATATTAATAGGAATACTACTAAATATTTAAGCGTTTGTTATGAGCTTTCAGGTCAAGGTGCGTAGAAGTGCAGAGTACATTTTTTTAACTACTCACAATTTGGGCACTTCAATGTCAAATCTTGAAAATGTACTATTTTACTGATAGAGGTTTTCTAAAGCCAATCCAAATACACGTGCGCAAAAGTTGCCAGAATTAAGGCTGAGTAAAACACTATAGTCAATTGATAAGATGAATTTTGTGGCTGGTGACTTGGTCGTATTTATTCCCGAGGGTGACTCTTACCATCTCGTGCTTCGTCCCAAGCTGTGATGTACGACCGACACGTGTGCCTTGTTCGCTGGCGCTTTTCGCTTTTCTTTTACCTCGATTATATGAAACCCTCCCACGAAATAGGCAGCTGTTCCCCTAACAGTTCTGTCACTTGGCCTTGCTAGGCGTTCAATAGTAGTTGAAAACCAGAACTAAACATTTTTTATTTGGTTATGAGTCTAACTTTATTTTATTATACAATTTCTTGCCTATGTATGAAATTGTGCACAAAGCAAATTGTGACAGAATTGTCATAAAAAATAAGAGTCCAACAACTTGAACGAATTTATTTTGATTAAATCTGATATAAAGTCTCAGCGAAAGTATAGTGAGTGCCAAGAAATGCGTTGATGCTGCCACTTATTTCTGCACGTTTTACTTGGTCTTTCTAGTTGGATTTTCATGAATTTGAATGATTATCAAGCTCAATCTGAATCGATCTGTCGCGGTCTTATTAGCCTTTGATGTTCATGATACACTACTACTCCGCTTCTCACACGTCAATACAGACATGATTGTTGCTAGCACAAACTGCTTTGTAATCGCTTAAATAGATTGTACGCAACCTATATTGAGCAATTTTTCAGCTAAAGTTATTCTTAGGTTCTGAGACCGTGGGTGTCGATAGCCCGCCCGTTCATCCCGTCATGTATCAGTGCCTTCTCTGAACATCAGCAGCGTATCAAGCTCTATTAAAATGAGCAGAATTCACACATTATTGATCGTAATTTCGTTTCCATGCGACGCTTAGCTAAATACGACAATAATGAACTTGTAGCTGCTTTCTGATTGAAATTCGGTGTATTGTCACCCTCGATTTTTTTAATGATGAACGAAAATGTATTTTTAAGGTTGCAAATGCGCCATGGAAAAATTTGGGCTCGTATAGGATTTTCTTAGCATTTTTTTCATGAAATTACGCGTCAAATTTCATCATAAGACTAGTGCTTAACTTTATTTGCTATCGTCAATTTTTAACTAACGCTGTCAGTGTTCACACCAGGATTGAATGTGATGAATCGTTTATTTAACACCTTAACAACGTCGTTAGCAATTATTGATTTCATTCAAAACACATTATCTACGCAAAAGTTACCTATAATGAAAGGATACAGACCAATGTACTTGGCATTTCCCAGTTGCGTGCCTTGGACGTTAGCCAGACCACTGCTGCCGCCTATCGCTATTGACATTTTCTCTATTATGTTCTTTCCCAGCACTTCTACGACATTTGCACCGTCCATTTCTGCTTTGTAATTACTTCTGCGCGTTTGAATATCCCGTAGATACTTGTTTACTTAGCATCTATTGCTTGGTTAATATGTTCGTCTCAGTCAGAAAGTATAATTTGTGCCTCATGTAATCGTAGGTTTTTTTTATAAATTGTACATCGCCTGCCAGTTGTCAACGAATTATATTGGCATAGCGGATCAAAAAGTATAAAGAAAGCAGTGACTACAATGCCAAAAAGTATGCTCGTGAATTTCGTTTGTTAATTTGAACTAACAGGTATATTCCAATATCTGTATTGCCTTTTCCATTCTTCCATTACTTATTAACTCGCATTTGACTCATGTTGGCATTTTTTTCCTCAATGCTCGCGTGTATCATTGATCGACGTGCCAATCTCTTAGATTGTGAGGATTCGAACGACTTTATCTCAGACTGATTTCTATTTTGAGGTTTTGCAGGAATGCAGCGAGAGCGCGCATATTCTTTCATTATTTTATCGTGCAGGCTGTGTGATTTTTGTGCTGATAATTCAAATCTTTATCAAACAGTGAATTTTTCGTACAACTTACGGTTGGACAACAAAGCTTCAGCGGCCATGGATGAAATTATTGTTATTCTTTGAAGATTTATTAGTGTATCTGTATTATTAAAAATCGTTTTTTTTTTCAGTGATCAGATCGTCGCCTTGAAAATTATCAAGAATGTAGAGAAGTACAGAGAGGCCGCCAAGCTCGAAATCAACGTCCTTGAGAAGCTCTCAGAGAAAGACCCCGCCGACAAGCAGTGAGTACAAAGATGTCTGTTTCAATCTCCCGTAATAAAAAATCTTTGCTGACAAGTGTTGCAGTTACTTTATTGCTAAACTTTTCATATATTCCTCAGTCTTGAGAATTTAAATGAAAAACTTGAGGGATAGTAAAAGTATTTATACTATAACTTATGAAGTTGGGTTATTTTGTTAGTATTTACTAATAATTGTAACGTTAACGATTTAATTTATTTCATCAAAATTCTTTTGTATAAATATTAAAATAATTATCATCTAATATAGAAATGGTTATGTAATCGGTTAGATTGAAAGTTAAACAACATGGCATTGTTGCTTTCATGCTAAATATCCCCGTTTTGGGTTCCTCTTCTTTTAATTCCCTAATTTTAGGAGCTTGGATCTTTACTGAGACAGGTAGTGTGAGCGAGAAATTTTATTTTCCCTGATTGTCGAATCCATTAACAACTCTTTTCGAAACTTTAGACCAAAATTAAAACAGGAATTGTGAGTTCGAGTAACATGTCATCCTAACATCATTACCTCATTGTTATTGAATGCGAGGATTATTATATTAAGATTATATTGAAGTTGATGATGCCGTCTCCACAGGTTGTGCGTGAAGATGCTGAGCTGGTTCGACTACCACGGCCATGTGTGCATTGCCTTCCAGATGCTGGGCTTGAGCGTCTTCGATTTCCTGGTGAGCAGCTAGTGTATTGTTCCCATGTGAAAAATGTATTAAAATAAAATATCCTTTTTCAATTCCAATTTCCACTTTTATTAAAATGAAATTGCAATTCTATCTGGGGATCTTGAATCCACGATGAATCGGCGACTAATGAGCACGAATGATAACTACAGCCGCTATTCTCCGAGGACGAAATCCTGTATCATTGCTTTAATTTTTGACGTATGTGCATCTTTTTCTAACTATGCTTGTTAACTAAAGCTTCTGGACAGCGTTATTTCATCGTCATGCTCTTTATGTGCAGAAAGACAACAACTACCGTCCCTACCCGCTGGACCAGGTTCGACTGATGGGATATCAGTTGTGTCACGCGATCAACTTCTTGCACAGCATCAATCTCACGCACACCGACCTCAAGCCTGAAAACATCTTATTCGTTGACTCTGACCACGACACCATCTATGACTCGAAAAAGGTCAGGATAAACTCCTCGGGTTTTGCAAATAAGAACTTGCACACGTAAGGTTGCCTTTTTATATCTTTGTATTGATCATATCTTCGAATGTTCAATTGCAAATAAAACTCCCTGTGTCGAAATATTCTACGTTTGTGGATTAGAAACTCAGTAATCGATTGTGTTCGTTATCAAGCAGTTTGCTTTCTTACAGTTCAATAGTGATTTAAAATTTTCACGAGAATAAATACAGGGTCAAAGTACTGCTTTACTGCTTGTCTGGATCAGTATGTCGTTTTGGGATACTAACCTCACACTAGCATCAGTAGCATGCTTATGGAACTGAATTCTAAGCCTCGAGTCCCTCAATGAAATCTAAGGCAAGCGAGAGAGAAACCTGAAAATCGCAATAAATGGGGGAAGTAGTTATTGAATGTGTTAACTTTATCGATCAAGATGCTACAAATTAGATTTATGTTTCGAAATTTAGAATTCATGATAGATTTTTAACATGTTTGTAATGTGCTTCTGAGTATACGAGTGGGATTAATATTCATTAATGAAATGTATTTTCATCAACAACGAAAAAAATGCATGCGTAAATGAGATAATGTTTTAGCTAACAAGATATTTGTAAACAGAAACGCGACATCAGGATTGTCAAGAAGCCAGACATTCGCCTCATTGACTTCGGCAGCGCGACCTTTGACCACGAGCACCACAGCACCATCGTGTCTACCAGACATTATCGCGCGCCTGAGGTTATTCTCGGTGAGTCACTTGCGAAAAGTAATTCAAAACTAACATCCTACCTTTTTATTATAATACCAAAGAGCGTGTTTATTGACTATCTATGTTTCTTGACGTTCTTTTCAATAATGAAAGTCTTATGCAGGACAATTGACCGGTCGTAATCTGGCTCGATGGGGAGAATTATTCACTTCTTTTCAAATTTTATCTTGTATTTTTAATATGAATGACAGCACGGCCAGATCATTGTAGTCCCGTGTTTAAATAAATATTTTCTAATGTGTAAGTCGTTCGCATTCTTACTACTTATATTCTGTCGGAGTCATTCCCTAAAATTTGAACTTGATAATTTGTTCTTGTATGGAATGGTGAGGAAATGGTCACGCTATGACGATGCTATAACATTGACAGGTGGATGCACAGAACACCGTGCTGAGTAAATAACCTTGTCAAGAATGTAGTTAATTACATTTTTTCTATTCATTCGAGTAAAATTTGCTTTTTATGGAAGCGTCCCAATGAGTATCATATGTTTTATATGTACTAAAAAATTGCTTTGTTTTTCAGAGTTGGGCTGGAGTCAGCCTTGCGACGTGTGGTCGGTGGGCTGCATCTTGTTTGAACTCTACCTGGGGATCACACTCTTCCAGACGCACGATAACAGGGAGCATCTTGCCATGATGGAGCGGATCCTTGGTCCTCTACCGTACAGGTATCATGTTCATAATGTTAGAAAAATTACCGTTCAAGGTATTACCGGCGTTTCAGTAGCCGGTCGGCATGTGGAATGAAACACCGTGTCGCCGTTTTTATTCTAATTTAACTCTAGAAATCCGTAAAACATTCGATAAAAACGGGGAAAAAGTTTATTTTCACGGGGCGACCGGCCACTAGAACGCCAGTGGGACCGTTTTTTCTAACAGTGCACCTAAATCCTGAAAAATAGTGACAATATTATGCATCTAGCCTTACTTGTGCTACATGTACAAGAATATTGGAAATTATGTGCATATTCAAGCAACCAGCGTATTGTTTCCAAATGTGTTTCAACTCCAAAAATAGGCTGGACATCCACGATTCTAGATAACAGGTATCGAATAAATAGGCCATTTGGGTTCTTTGTCAAATATGAGTACGGTATTTGGAATTCGGGTGTTGGTGCTTGAAAGAGAACGAAGTACAGTGTGTCGAACTTGAATATTTTGATACATGCGCAAATTACCATGCACCATTACAATCTAATAATTAATTTTAGCGATATTTGAATTGTAATTGTGTAATTTAGAAGATCAGACTCTAGTTGCTGAACCAATGTCAATGCTGCGTTTTCCATAAAACTCCTATTGCAATGCTATCTTGTTACATTATGTAATCCACCAGTTAATGTTCTACAGTTCTGACACTGTGAACTTTATCACAAACCTTGGTTTGATGACATTAATGTTTATCTGTAGTATTTATGTATTGCACTTTTGCTAATATAGATCCGAGGCCCAGTTACACCTACGGCTATTATGAACATTACTGAATGCAGTTTTGTATAAAATAAATGTGGTAAACTCGAATTTTTTTATTATTATTTTTTTGCATGACGATCTAATGTGCTTTTTATTTGTCAGAATGGGCCGCAAGACGCGCACAAAGTATTTTTACCACGGCAAGCTGGTGTGGGATGAGAAGAGCTCTGCTGGGCGCTATGTGCGCGAGAGCTGCAAGCCTCTCCGGGTGAGTAATAATCGTAGACAAGGATCAATTCCTCAATTATGTCTTACGTAGAAGTTTCTGAACGTTACTTGCATGGGATACGGTCTGCGTATCCCATGCAGACCGTATTTTCTCTGTGAGACGATACGGTCATTCTTGGAGTCTCACAGAGAAAATTACCTGCATTCTGCGGTGGTACTACTTTCAAAGAGTGCTAAGTGTTTCAGAAAACTGAACTGCCATTTCGTCGGATCAAATAGTGCTTTTTTTATTTATCCCTAGCTCCGAAAAAGCTGGTTTCACCAAATCTCGGTATTAATGGGGAAGTAATTACCCAAATTAACAAAAGAACTACTCTGACGTTTACGTTTACGTTTCACATTCTAACAGATTGAAGATGAAGATAAATAATATATTTTTCTAGTGTTTTCTTGAATAAGCAACTGTGTTCTTGCATTACAGAATTACCAAATGAGTGCAGAAGAAGATCACAAGCAGCTCTTCGATCTCATCAGCCAGATGCTTGAGTATGACCCCGCTCATCGTATCACACTCTCTCAGGCTCTCAGGTAAGCCCAGACAATCCATTTATCGTTATTTGATAAAAAAAACTCGAAGATTACTTTATTCTTACAAAACGCTATATCTTATGAACAAGATTAGAGTCATCTCAACCGGAAAATACACCGCTCCCATAGCGTTGTTCTCGAGTTGGACGTTTTAAATATCCATCCGCATCCGACCTCGGTCGTACAATACTTTTCATCGAGATTCAATTTTTTTTATTCCAGTTTATGCTCCGATATGCTCAGGAATTTTTAATTTTACAAATCAGTTTTATGATTTCTAAATTCTTTGTTTTTTACAGACATCCTTTTTTCGAGAAGATCCCAAGTAGTCAGAGGTTGGAGTTGGGATCTAGTCTGTCTCGTGAGCGTTCGCATTCGCTCTCCCGGTGATTGCCAGCCTCAGCGCCTTCCTGGAACCATCAATCCTACTGTCAGTACCAGCGCAATGACTGCCAGCATCTCGATAATAAAGCCAGCAATTATTGCGGTCAGGGCTGGCAGGACGATACACAACTTCCTGGTAGAGATCCGCAGTATGGTGATGGTCCAGGTATCATCACGTCGCATCACGACTCAAATTATCACACCGATACTTATCCTTTTCGTCGACGCGCTTTCCATGACGCCCGAAATAATAATTTTCACAGTAATGATTACAACAAAAATTCTGCCAACGATACCGTTTATTTCAATAACGACACCTTGAGTCAAAACTTAGATTATCGTTCGCAAATGTCTTATGGAGAAGCCTTTCCACCTCAATGGAGGTATAAAAGCTCTAAAAATCGAAGTATAAATCCCATGGTGGCCAACGGGCAATGATACTCATCATGCGATATTCTTATTAGATATAATGTCTTACTGTAGCTCTAAAATTAATACCCAGCGTCAAAATATACATGGTTCCATATTCTAATTGGGCACTAATAATTTCACTAGTAAATACAATGTTGTGATTCAATTCATAAATTTTATTGCATAGCAAGTAATTTTTTAATTTGAGATATTCACGGTCTGATTATCATCGAGCTAAGTTGGTGATGTCGAAGATACAGGAAGGCGTTATTAAGTACTAGAATTACGGTTCACTTGTATGATATTCATTTCATCATTCGCGCAGTAGGTACGTGTGCTATTTGAATGATTTAAGTTTGGTTCTCGAGTCGCTACAAATCGCTTGCCGATCTCACTGCTGCGACTCTAAAGCTATCGGTAAATTACGGCTTTGGAAGATGTAGAAATGATGTACATACTTATTCTCATTGTATAATCTAGGTGCTTTTTTTTTATTGTGTATCATTTTTTGAGTGATTCATCGAGAATCCCATGTTGGTGAGCAAGATGCGTTAAGCAAGGAGTTGGTCTCTTAACCGGTGCGTCAGCTCAAACGTCAGAACATTGTCCTACAGTACGCAATTCATGTTCAGATACTAATTGCTGCTGTCAGATTTTTTTTTTTGCACAATTGAACGAGTTACCGTTATGTATGTGGATGAATTTATTGAATCTTATAAAATTCATGTATCCTCGGCCCTCGCGACCTGATATGGACGCAACTGAGCACACTTAAGCCCATCTATATAGGTTTGGAATAGTGGCATTGTAATTGTTAGCATTGTAATTACGTACGTCATCAGAGTATGGTGACACCATAAATATTATACCGGCCTCTCTGAACGCTACTTTATTGCTCAGAGCTTCAAAATCTCTCGGCTGAACGCGTGTGGACCTTCCTAGTGTACTGTGGTAAGAAAGATTTAATCTTGATAAAGTTTGTGTGAAAGGATGTTAGACAACTGATGTGATGAAAGTCTGTTTGTAAAGCCTATGAAGTGTTCTGTACAGGTGACGAATTACTTTAAGTGCACGCCCCCATCGTTGGACAACATTTAATTGATAAGCGTAAAGATTAATATGTGGTTCATTGTGGAAGTCTCCTAGAAATTTTTTCTTTTTTAATTTCGACTTTTGTCCCCATATCATTTAGACTTATTATTTAGATTAATTGCATTTGATTGCAATGTTGAGGTACATATTAGATTGGATATCGAAGTATATTAGTGGCCTGCGGAAAATAAATTGATAGGTCGGTCGCATTGTAGATAAAAATTTAATTAAAAACCGTGATGGCTGACATTATTTAAGGCTTACGGGCCCGAGAAAAGCGAATCGATCGACACTTGTTGCTCTTATTAAATATTTTGTTAATAACGTGTGGGATCATTGTGGAAGTCTCCTAGAAATTTTTTCTTTTTTAATTTCGACTTTTGTCCCCATATCATTTAGACTTATTATTTAGATTAATTGCATTTGATTGCAATGTTGAGGTACATATTAGATTGGATATCGAAGTATATTAGTGGCCTGTGGAAAATAAATGGATAGGTCGGTCGCATTGTAGATAAAAATTGAAATAAAAACCGTGATGGCTGACATTATTTAAGGCTTACGGGCCCGAGAAAAGCGAATCGATCGACACTTGTTGCTCTTATTAAATATTTTGTTAATAACGTGTGGTTTGAATCTTGGCCTTGGTTATTTGCCTGCATCAAATTCGCAGTTTGCTTACATTTTACTTATTGTCAATACAATTTCAAATATGTTGTATGTAACTTCTGGGTAATAAAATATTATAATGGGAAATAATTTATAATAATTAATATTTTTATGTAGACTAACATGGGTTCCTTGTGTAGAAGCGAATTAATCGAATCGTCGGGCAACTGTGGTCAAAGTTCATCGGATCGACTGACAGTGCGCAAGATTGACCATATGCAACTCATTGAAACATATTATGCAGACTTATAACATCGCTGACGATTTTATTCTTTAGTACTCGAACGCATTTTCAAGCAAGGCTAATGCATCATCAGATGAAGAATGAATTTCGCTTTAGTGAACATGGAATTGTGACACGTCATTAGATGTTACACTCTTACATTATGAGTTGTTGACGTACTGCCTCAGGAATTTCCCTTCAAATGCAAGTACAGAGTATAATCTCCCATGCAATTATTGACAGCAAATTAATTCGGGGGTTGTCTTCAACTTTCAGATTTCGACGTCACGATAGAATTTTTTTAAGATCCTACAAGTTTATTTATCGATAAATTTATTAATAGGACTCTAAAAACCAGTAAATTAAAAGTGAGCATGCAAATTCATCCACTTTAGATAAAAATTTATAGTAAGGGCAATTCGGAAGGATAGTCAAAGGATTAATTTTGGCAGCTTTACCCGTTAACTGACTACGTCATCAGAACAACGAAAAAGAAGTCGAGATCGAACGAATGACAAAATAGTGAATGTCGCAAAAAAATGTATTCAGTTCTCAGAAAATCAAGCCGCTGAAATCCCAGCCGGCTGAAAGGAAGATGCCCATAAAACGACTAATTTATTGCACGTACTGCGACATCCCTCTACAAAAACGAGCAACACAAACAGCTCTGAATAATTCCTACAATGGTCGTTATATTTCAAGTTGGGTGTGCGCTCAGCTTTGATAATTTATACAATCGATATCGATATGATTTATTTGTAAATCTAACATTAAAATTTCACCGTTGACGGCATCGATCAACCCGAAAAGTTTATTTTTTTTATCTTGGTTATCTAGCAATTTGAACTCACAATTAAAATGCTTCAATCAGCTTACCTTTTGGTTGTTATCGAAATTCACTTGGTATAAGAATAGGCTGAATAGAAGTGGAGTACATGCGGTGCTGTACAATACAGAAGGTATCGGAAGGAATAGCGGTTGATTCCTTGCAGCTCGTCAATGGTTGAAACAAATGACGTTGGCATGGCGAGCAAAATTGAGGTTCCTGGTATGGCGAAGTCTCGATACTGAGAGGAAAAAATGTTTATAATATTTTAACCGCAAGCCAATTGGGCCTCATTCGATTGGTGGCTAAGTAAATATGCAAGAACATTAGTGAGGTTTTTAGTGCCAATTGTGGAGATTTCATGGATGAAGGAGGTAGTCTTGAAATAAGAGAAAATCATTAAGAGAAGTAGGAAGTTGCAATGAGAATAATAGAAAGAATTCTATGAGGGTCAAATGCGTTAGAGAAACAAAATGAAAGACTTGAAATTAGATTTGCTAATCCGTAGCATCATTTGAATAGATACTGTGATTATCAACTCTGACCATCCGAGCTTTAATTGGAAATATTCAACAAACATAACTAGAATAAATGCATTGTTATGCAATCTTACAAGGTGCAATATAAAACTCAAGTCCAACTGCCAACAGGAGCAAAATGAGCCTCGAGTTTATGCAACCAAAATAAAAATGATACGATATTCACGCAAAATACGTGACAGTGAGATACTTGATGGCCGGAGGAGTTGGTGCTACTGGAAATACTGATTCGTAGGTAGTACGGACCCAGAATTATCTACGCGTTCGTTAGTTTGACAAACCACAACTCTGAACTGCTTGAAAGGAACGACACTGTGCTCGTGCGCCCGGGCTCCAAGTAGCATAGCGCGGCAGAAATAAATCGTGTTTTTGAATAATTGCGAAAAATAAATTATCATTAAAAAATTAGGAATTTCGCACACATCAGTCGTCGATTAATCACGATTCTGGTTAGGAAAAATATATCATTCCTCTTGATATCAATCTGGCAAAGTTTCTCTTTTCGGGAAATCCGTAATTTTGAATGGAAGAAGTTCTATCAAGGAAAAGTGTATGACAACATCGGCCAATTGAAGAAGGCACAAATGTCAGAGATCCGAATATTATTGCTCGTCATTTGGAGGCAAAAGAAAAAAAATCCCGAGTGCTGAGCTCTAAGCCCATGCCCAGACTGGACACAGCTTGGCCCTGTTCATCATTCTTTCCCTTGTGATAAGGCCAACGCGAAGCTCCATTGATCGAAGCTCCAGGAAGTGGTTACTAGGCAACCGTGGCACGCGATGTGCCGCATGCCGCCTGCTCGACCCAACCTCAGAATACCGTTTGACGTTAAACTAAGCTTAATATTCGCTATTCACGTAGGTCAATTTACCAGAGTTTCAGAAGGAAATTTTAATGAAAATAAACTAAATTAAAAAGTCGACACAACGCATGAGATTTGATTGAAAAAATTAAGTCGCCGTGCGTAAAGTACATCAAATTTTAACAGGATTCCTACTAACTGGTAGAGGGTTACATCGAGCGAGTTGGAAATCTGGATTACAGGGAGTGTTAGACGTCTAGCAGGTGTTATACAATTACATTGGGGTAAGGTGACATGGGAATGTGACGGTAAATTGTAGTAGAGTTGAACGTAGCGCTTGGTGGAGAAGCACTGATAAGTATCGTCAAAATCAATCAAACAAAACAATATTTTGGATTTAATTCATGAATGAAGATGTAACGAACAAATGTTCATAATGAAATTCAAACAGAAAATAAGCTTGTTTCTAGTACCTTGTTGCAGTTATTGACGCTAAAATCCCAATATTTTGGCCAAAAAATCCATTGACGCCTGTTTTGATAAAATAATTAGTTACACACCTTGAATTTAAGTTGCAATCTGATGGACGAAATAGGAGGCTTGCTGACCGCTGCTGTCAGGGGCGGGACGCTGGCACAGTCTCCTCTCAGTGTCGTGGCGTCAGTGCCACGGTAGGTTGCCGTGTGGTGGCGTTCAAGGAGTGCCAAGCATCTTAACTGGTGAACCTGTAAAAATTTGAGTGCTTACAGTCGCAGAAAATTTTTTTTAATAGGTTTCGTTGTAGGAATGTAGGATTTTCATGACATATGGAAGGGATAGAAAGATACGCGATTTTTTTTTAATTTAATGGTTGAATAGCGATGAAGGATTACTTTGACCGAATGCGTTCTTGTTCGAAAAAAATGTGCAATATATTCACCAATGAAAGGACAACTGACTCGATGAAAAATGTAGTGCCAAATGACTGCAAATTGAGGAATTTGAAATAATTTATTACTAATTAGGAATAAATTGTAAGTTCAACCACGCGTTCTAGAGGTATTTCTCAGAGCTGAATTACTATAGGACAGAAATAGGCTCAATATAATTTGGGGAAACTTGCTTTTAAGTTACTTTTCATTGAAGTTAAAGCCAATGCGTGAGAAACGCATTTATATAATTAGGATCTATTCAACCAACAAAGCGTAATATCTCGAAAAAAATTTTCCAGCCTACATTTTCAGGTAAAGCAAATTAAAATCATATAAATTTTTGATTTAAAATATTGATTTAAAATGATTTAAAAATATTTTAATAATTTAAATGATTAGTGATTTAAATGACGATGATTTAAAAATATTTTTAAAATTATTGATGATTTAAAAATATCAGAATGACGGGAAATTCTAAGGCTTGAGTAACTGACAACCAGAGGTTAATTTAGCTGCAGCAGAGACCGCAGCGAGAAGAGATCGAGGGCAGCGCTGGTCATGAGATCGCGGCAGTGTCGCAGTGCAGTCAGAACATCACAGTACAATAAAGCGGTGAGTGACAGCACGTGCACTTCAGTACAGCATTATATGCATAATTATTGCATATTCACTTGGCTTTGGATTAATAACGAATTTAACGGAGTAATGTAATTTTCTTTACGAATGCATCAAATGAACCAGAACATGGTCGCATTCAATAACAGCAGAATACGACAGAAACTGTTCTAGAAGCAAATGTATTAGTTGAATATCTGCCAACTTTTTTGCTAAGCAAAGAGCCACATGACCTTCATACGAATATTTCATGCTTCGCACTTTTTACAGAAATTTAGCGACCAGAAACAGACAACGCACGGCAGTCCTGTGAATGAAAGTGGTTTCGATATCGGTAATAGCGACGCATATAACATCGAACAGCGCACGAGCCAGTCACGAGGAAGAAACAGCACCGCTTCCTTGGATAGAATTGGCAAAACCACACACGAAAATGGTCAAGGAGAACCAAAAACGAATAGCAATGAGATTAAAAACAACAAAGACGAGAGCTACGACGACCAGTCAGAGAAGAAACAAAAAAATCCTGTCGAAGTCACGGTTGAGAATACCGAGAAAATATTTCATGACAATTTTGAAAGCTCCCACGTGAGACGAAAAGAAACTGGTAAAATGAGTGCTTCTATTTCAACTCCTAATCCAAAAAAGTACAGTACAAAAACAACAGCAAGCTTCACATCTTCTAAAAACAATCTAGAGTTATTGACTATTCCTCATAAATCGAGATCGAGGGAACTGACGGTCCCGGATCTGCAGCCTTTAACTGTCCCACTGCTACCGCAACCGACACGGACGCTCACTCACAGGCCCAGGGCTCTGTCACCTTCGTGAGTTTTGACCAATACTTGGCAACTGCTATATTATTACGGTCCCTAGGCGATGATGTTTCAGATTGAATGCGATGATATCGCCTTTGCAGAATATAATGAGTGCATTCCATGTGAACTGCATTGCGAAAAAGGTAAGCAATAATGTCATTATTCCATTTCCAAAATGGAAGCATGGACAACCAATAACGGCATTTAAATAACGAAAGTACGAGATGGCAATGACATTTATCTACGAGATGTGTCGGCTTCCGCGTAACAAACATAAAATGTGTCCAGACCTGATGAAATTATATAAACGTGAAATCTTCAACGATTAGCCTATTGGAATTAATTTTCTGTATACATTATATTCTGAATTTGTCAAGGCAGTTCCTATTTATCCGATTTAGCAGTTAATTAACCCGTTTGAAAATTCACGATATTCGCAAAAGAAGTAGTTAGATAAAAATGCTAGCGAACAATTCGCAAGATGATTAAAACAGCAAAGACCATGCTATGTAAAAAATTATACGGCGTGCAGCTGGCTGCCACCTTCAATAAAAGCATCAAATATTTTAGAGTTCTCTGGGATCAGCAATTTTGAACTCGCGAGTAGCATCGATGAACGGAACACGGAAGTATCAGTGAAATCTAGTTAAGTCATCAAAAATTCGCTCACCATTCCCACGCCAAATTTTTTCTTCGTTACTATTATAATATTGCGATACTTTATAATACCTTATGATGTTGCAAGGCCTAACCTCGATGAAAATTCAACATTTGACTGAGTGTTTTGTTTGCGCCAGGCCCGTGACTGCGACGAGAGGACGTCACATAAGGGCCTCGTCGGCGCAGCAAGCTCCAGTTGTCCTGCAACTTTTTAAGCCAAATAAACAGCCAGTGTCAATCTCCAAGATAGACATGGACAGGTTTCAGTCTAAATTAAAAAAACTTAGATATACGAGTCACTAAACTAAAGCCACTTTTTCGTCATTCAAATGCACATCCACGGCTCTTCCTGGCCATAGGCGCTCAACAATAACTCTTTTGCATGATAAAATGGAGTGAACAACTATATTGTCGTGTTAACATTGTCTGTTCTCTGTTTGAAATCACACAGAAGTAAATATTTAAATGCACTTAAAAGCCTTCAAGTTCTGTCTCCACTGAAAATAGCACTGAAATTTCATGAAACACTGGCAAAATTTGGCGACAAGGTTTTCAAAAATATCCATGGTGAATTGCTATTTTCTTCAGACAAGATCTACACGAATGGCCAAGTGACGATAAAATCAGCAGCATTGGCAACGCGTCAACGACAAGTGGCAATAACAACGGTGCTACCCATCAGAAAGGCGGTGGAGCTACAGTTTTATCGCTGCAGAATAACCATATCACTAAAATCAGCCCCAACACCGCACTTAGTGGTGTAGTACTACTGGATTTGTATCACAACAAACTGAGCTCCTTGCACGGGCTAGCGATGTTACCTGCACTGCGAGTGCTACTTGTCGCAAAGAACAGGCATGTGAACCGTAAATTACGTTGTAAATAATAAATTTTTTAACAATAAGGGCAAATATAGCTGAAATGGTGGCTGTCTTATGAAAATATCTGCTGGTGGTCATCAATATCTCTATTAATGGTGCATCAGATCTGCCGCCGTATATCGTTCCGAATCTGAAAAACACAAAATAAGATTGAAACAGCATGCAAATTTTATATATTTCCGCATGTCTATCAATTTTTGCAAACAAACTGCTTTGACTAATAAAATGGATCACCAGACCGCAAATTTAATGTATGTAATTTTGTTTGCATTAGATTAGACAGCTTCCTGATTCAAATATAAATCGCCTATCTCCTAACAAATAAAAAAATGTTTTCAGTTTGAATTACTTTATAGGTAGAGCACTTGGATGCGCTGTAATAGAATAAAATTTTCACTATTCACAGAAAATAGTTAAGTGTACTAATGCAAGCAGGTTGACGCGTCTGGACGGTCTGACTGAAGTTGTTCACTTGGAAGTGTTGGACCTTCACGGCAATCAGCTGCAGCATCTCCACGGACTGTCTACTCTCAAAGTATAATAAAATAGAAGAATTGCTTGTTTTGTTGTAAAAAATATCAAATTTATATAGAAGTTTTCATGTAAATCGACTTTACCAAATAATTTTTGTGTGGTTATGTGGAAGCCTGTTCCAGCCTGTTAATAAGACAACGAACATACAACCATAACAATTATTTTTATACTTTGAGTTTCCAGAAGAAAAGATCATCTAAAACCCATAGTAGTCAATACAAAATGAGTTGAATTTGTGCTGCACAAGGAGAGAATTAATTTCAATTTCTCAGAGGCTGCGCGTACTGAATGCAGCGGGCAACCTGCTTCGCGAGGTATCGGGGCTACGAGGCTTGGATTCGTTACTGGAGCTGAACCTGCGACGCAACCTCATACGCGGCGTTAGCGATCTCCACTACCTACCTCGTCTACAGAAGCTCTTCCTTGCGCACAATGAAATATTCAGGCATGTTGTAGCGATATTATTGCTCTAATTCAGATTTCAATCCACCGTTTTCAGGATTATTTGGAAACATAACATATGTAAGCAAATATTTATTGTGAATAATTAATTATAATCAACAGACGATTTATTTTCAGTCCTACACATATATGAGGGTAAGACCGTTGCTTTTCTGGAAATAATCGGAAATAATCGTAATGATTCGATCATTCACTATAAATCAAACATTATTTTTTGACCCTACTCCGTATGAGCTTCTTTACTCACCTATACTTTTACTAACTCGGCATGAACTAATTCCCTCACTGACCACTGTTGGCTATGTGAACGTGCATCTCTTACATGAAGTATTTGCGTCCATTGAACAAAAAATTGAATGTCAATAATTATTCGACGAACCATTACAGCAGCTGGCTGCAAAATAAAATTAAATAAAAATAATCTAATTGTTCAAATTTTTGCATCACACGATGCAAATTTGTGTGGAATTGAAATAAATTTAGTATGGGCAATTTTAAACGACGTGACCTCTTCAGATTTTGCATCTTTAGCTAATGAAAATGACAAAATTTAAAATGACGCATTAAGCTAGTGCAATTATCATATTTGATTCGCACGAAGAAAGCATTGATTTCAATGAAAATTAATTTCGAGCAATGTGGAGTTTTTTAATTCATTCTAATGTTAAACGCATTAACTTCCAGGTACGAAGATATGAGCTGCGTACAAGGATGCCTGAAGCTAAAAGAGCTTTCATTACACCACAATCCTGTTAGTAGACACGGCCTATACTTCTACACAGCGCTCACTAAATTCTACAGACTTAAGAGGTGATGTGCAACCATAAAAATGGACTATTATTCACCCGTACTTATTCTAGGCTGTCATACATGTTTATAGGAAATAACGTTCCTTTGCATGTTATGATACTAAAAGATAAAATGGTATTTTGTATAGGTAAAACATAATAGTTCATATAATGCACTTGTACCGACATATTTGTTAAATCACCATCTGGTACTCAAGAAATTGCTAGTTGTTCACCACCATCAAGAAATTGCTTGTTGAAAATCACCATCAAGAAATTGCTAGTTGTTAATTGATTGCGTTTAAAAATCAATGCCATGGAGTGCATGAACTTTTAACGTAAATTAAATATTACCTTACAAGAACGTTTTGAAGTAAGAAACAATATCTTGATACAAGTCACAGAGCAATGAAAAATAATTAGATATCTTTTATCAATACGCAATTAATTAATTGAGTAAAAATTGTTTAATGCATTCAAATTACTCAATTAATTAAAAAACTTACCGATTCTAAAGTTTCCACATTTAAAACCTTCCATCGAGAAATAATTGATCAAGAAAGAAATAATTATTCCCTATGTTCCTGCTTACTTATCATCTATTTACATAATAGTTCTCACCCTTTGAAACTTCCCTTACCAATGATTTAGAAAGAAATAATTATCCCTCGTCCTCATCGAATGCAGACTGGATGAACGCGAAATAGATCTGGAGATGCGCAAGACGGCAGAGCGAATGCTGCAGAAGGCGAAGGAGCGCGAGAAAGCTCGTTCGTGTCGTCTGCACAGCGCCGTGAGCCGCGCCAGCGCCATCTGCAGCGCCCGCGACAACTGGAACCGGCTGAAAGTTGCGCACAAACGACTACGCAACATCAGTGCCGCGACAACGTCCACGGTTAAACAAAGTAAAACACCATGTTGAGAATTTAATTAAAAATTTTTAATGTTTGGTTTGCAGGGAGTAATTTGATCTCTATAACTAATTATACAACACCTGTACGGCGCCCACGTTCACGCTTAACCAAAGTAAAACACCGGTTAATAATTCGATACCATTTCTGGTTGTGTTTTTTAGTGAGCCGATAGATCTTAATAATGAATCGCACATCAGTCCGGCGACAACGTTCACGGTTAAGAAAGGTAAAGCACCAGGTTAAGAATTCGACAATCTCGATTATAGTTGTGATTTTTAGGGAGTCATTAGATCTCCATAATGAATCACACATCAGTACTGCCACTACGTCCACGGTTAACCAAAGTAAAACACCAGGTTAGGAATTTTATAATCTCATTTATAGTTTTGGTTTTTTAGAGAATCATTACCTCTCCAAAATGACATCACTCTAGTAAATTCACTCGTTTTGTGGTCAGGAAGTATATAGAGGGATATTGTAAAAAATGAATGCCAGAAACACTAAGCCAGACGGACATTATGAAACCTATTATACCATTAACCTCCACAGAGGAAGCTGCCGAGGAAACTAAGAAATCCGAAGACGAGCCCGTCATCGAGGAAACTGCATATCCAGTCAAAACAGTGAGCGACACTGAGCCTGAATATGAATCAAAACTGGACAGTACAAATTCAAATGTTAATGAAAATAAAATCACAACTATCAGAGAACGTCTCCAACCGGCTGAGCTGGAAGAAAACGAGCAGGCAGTGGTAGAAGGAACTAACAACGGTGAAAAAGGGAAAACGATCACAGACATTAATAAAACCATAGAAGAAGATAGTATAACTCAGGAGATTTGTTTAAAATACTCGTCATCTATGACAAGACCAAGTGATTCAGAACATACGCTTTCAGAAAAATGTAGTTTGTCTCACACAAATCTAGATGAAATAGTGAGCGAAAATGCTGATAAAGCTCTCCCATCCGGCGCAACAGATGATGAAATTGTGCAAGAGACTCAATTGAAACACCCTACATTCTGCACAACTGAACAGACTAGTTTGGATAAACACAACCATTCTAGCAATACAACTGACGGTCAGGTGTTAAACTCCAACAGTACAACGAGCCCAGAAAAAGTGACAATCATGATAGTTACCAATGAATTACAGACCAATGAAAACGTCGATAAAAGCGATCGATTGCTAAAAGTTGAAAGCTCAGGTGATATAAACAGTTCGCCAGAAAACACGCTCAATACGGGGTCGAAAAACACGGTAGAGAGGTATAGGAGTTCACCGAATTTGTTAGTTACACAAGCTACTCTAACGGAAAATTATTTAGACCAGGAGAACCAAAAAGAAGTTGAAACCTGCGCAAGCGGAAACAAAAATCAAGCACTTGCTAGAAGCGTATCTTGCTGGAACTTAGTTTTGCCATTGAAGAACTTGACTCAAAAGATGCAAGCAGCGCAAGCAATGGAAAAACCATTACACACTAATCCTACATATTCCAAACTTCGACTGAAAAAGATGTCTCTTCCCAACAAAATCCCACTGCGAAAATCTGCGTCGACCAGAAGCCTCGTGAGCTTACCAGAACACAGAAAAATGAACTTACTTACTGAAGGCCTTGAAAATAGCGAGGCTGGATCAAACAAATTCGAAGACAACAGACCGAAAACAGCTAATTGTAGTAGCAACAAGAAATTGCGTAATGATGCTCCTTACCAGCAACTTGCATCCAGTTGTGATTCTCTGTCATCTTCCGATTCCTCAAAACATGAAGAAGAAAATGAAAACCTATCCGCCACATCTTCTTCCACAGCCATTAGTAATAGCTGTGCTAAGATTTTGAAACCAGGCGAAAAATTAACCCATCCAGAATCTGGACAGAACGCGGGACACAGTAGTTTTAAAATCGACTTTCAGCAAAACAAAGCAAGTTCAAATGGTACCAACGCTGCAGGTTCCATGCTACAACCACCGCCTCTGACCCATCGGCATAGTATTTCAAACCTCAACACTAGCAGAAATACATCGAACTCGAACGCAACAATCTCGACTAGCGGGGCACCAAGCACAGGTTTACTACGACAGCAAGGTAAAAACTATCTTGCTGAAATAGATTCAGGAATGCTAAATTTGTATGGGCAAGGGGCGTTGAATTGCATAGACTTGCAGTGGGACAAGACAGCGGCCAGTGCAGCCACAACTGCGAAATTTCAGTACATAAATTTTGATGAAGCCATCGCGGTTTTCTCGAAGCTGAGGTCCAAGTTCCCAAAGCTACAAAATTTTGTGTTTGAAGAAACCCACCTAGCGCGCTTCGGCCAGCTCAATGCTCTGGCTGAATTACATCAGGTATGTATGATTACGTATCTCACAAATATATTAGAGTTAATTTAATGACACTTCTTGGATTATTTCAGAATGCCAACTAAGCGTTCCTACTTCACTCAAACTAAACAGTTCGGTGCCAATTTGTCACCCGATGCTAATAGTTTAGTATCGGATTAATATATTAGAGTTAATTTAATGCCACTTCTTGAATTACAGTATTCCAGAATGTCAACTGAGCATTCATACTTAACTCAAACTAAACAGTTCGGTCCCAGTTTGTCACCAGATGCTAATAGTTTAAACATTTGCAACAAATTATCGGGCTCAGAACCTACCTCGGAAAATTGTCTATTCGTGCAGGTGAGAAGTCTGTCCGTGGGTCAAGACGGTAACCCGATCACCGAGCACTCGCAGTGGCAATACTACGCCATTTTCAGGCTCACTCACTGGGGTCTAATGGTCATCAACGGCAAACCCGTAAGTACGAAGAGTTATTACATAATATTCAGCGCATATCAAGATTAAATAGAAAAAATGTTGGCTCAAACACGGGGACTGAATTCGGAAACAATGTAGGTATACTGTGTGGCATCGATTCACCTCACTGTAGCATTCAATTGTCAACCAGTTATCAATAAATTATTTCAAACTAATTATAATATTACAATTACATAGAAACTACTCAACACATTATTAGACACTAAAAACCGTATAAAACATGTCAGAACACGAGTTAGAGGTTTAAATTACCACAGGAATACGAAGCTGTTCGATCTCGCTAGAAATTTGCGGTTCAGTATTGCGTAAATAATTTTCAAGTATTTTATGTATTTCAATTGAAGGCTGGCCCCTTATAGATGCTGTGGCGACGTTAGCGGCATTGACAATAAATAGATTTCTATAGATCACAAAAATTTTGAATTAAACTGATTTTTTGCAGGGGCAGTGCGCGTCTACCGGTGTTTTGTTAATAATCTCGTAGTCTTGCAAAGATGATAAATAGTATGCAAGAATATTGATTTTATTTAAACCTTGGGTAAATAGGATGTCAGGCACCCAGAGCAATACAATCAAGAATATCAAATAGCTACTTTGTATCCCATATAAAACTGTGCATAAAAATAAATACATTCTTTGAACAGATAAGCGACGACGAACGGCAGGAAGCAATGGTGCAATTCGGATCTCTAAGTCAACTTGCGTTCATGTGCTTACCCAGAGATAACCTTAATGCACTGATGATGGCCAGCAGGAACAAAACAGGTGACTGGCGTTCGGTAAATTTGAAGCTATCCATATTTGTACATCGACAAGGAAAAAGGATAGCACTGCCACTATATCCTTTAAAGGATAGCACTGCCCGTCTAAAAATTATGCACATGATAGTTTCATCAAATCACAGAAAGAAATTAATTTGCTTGAAATATTTAAAAGAAGTAATGTAATTGAAAACAAAATTTTAGAAGTGACTAAGTGACTGACGTACGATATACGTAAAATAAAAACTCAGGGAAAACTTTCACTCACTCAGGAGTCAGTACGCACTGCAGTGAGTGACAGAGAGCGCATTTTCTCGTCGACGAAAACGTGAAGTCACGGACGGACGGACAGACGGACGGACGGGCGGACATGGCGAGCACAATAGTGCATTTTTTTTCCATAAATGAGAAAATGCGCTAAAAATGAGCCTGACATGTAGTTAAGTGAGGTACTAAGACACTAACAAAGTTGGGATGTACCTAAACATATTGGGTTCTTTTAAATGATGGACCTAATTTAATAAATTCTTATTGAAATATAAATTCAAAATTAATATTTTATACGCTAATGGAAATAGTAAGATTCAAAGTTTTTTACACACTTATAAATGTTCAATATGTCCTCTTGTGCTGCACAGCAAATATCTAAACGGTAGCGAAACTCGTCCCACGCACGAGAAAGCATACCTATCTTTGTAGTGGAATGGTAGGTAACTCAGGGATAGCGCTCCTAGAAACGCGAAATCAAATATTGCACCTAACGAAAGACGAAAAGCCTTCAAATGTCTTCAAGACGAAATAGACAATAAAAAATGTAACTCAGTACTCACTGCAGTGAGTGACAGAGAGCGCATTTTCTCGTCGACGAAAACGTGGTCACGGACGGACGGACGGACGGACAGACATACGGACGGACGGGCGGACGGACATGACGAGCACAATAGCGGCTTTTTACATAAATGAGAAAATGCGCTAAAATGCCGAGATGAATTTAAGCAATTGGCACACATGTCAGTTGCTGGGCAACTTGAAGATTCGTTTCCAGCGAGTCACGGTTGACTCGCTCGTGGACTAGCTTACTGTAACAAAGTGTTGCATTGATTAGTTTGAGATCGCCCATCACCGGTAAAATTGTAACAGTTCCGGGTACTAGGATTGAAGTAGAGAGGTGCGGATTCGATCCACGCTCTGCACGCCAGTTTCTGGTCAGAATCAGCAAGGAGGCCAGGCGGTTAGGCAAAGCGAAATTGGAGCAGTGCGTTGCGTGTTTGCAACAAGCAGTGAATGTTCTGCGCTGTTAAGAATCGGCGACATGCCTGCGGCCTATTAAACGCTTAAACCGCTATCAACTGCTATCAGATGATATAGAATTTATGTTGAATTAATCTGTTTTTTCAAATCAGGAATAAAAATTGTCGCATCCAGCTGGCGTTAAACAACATTACGTAATAATCTCCAAGTGACTAAAAGCTATTTGCGCAGAGGGAGGCAGCGGCGGAGGAGAGCCAAGTGGGGAGGGGGGAGGGAGTTTGGGAGCACCCCACCTCCAGGAGCTTATAGGGAAAGAAGCGCTGCAGTACCGACCTGATGCAGCTGCTGCTACTCAGGTAAAAATTTTCAAAATATCGCTAAAAAACGAAGAAAAAAAAAACGATAAAAATAGAAACTGCATTTTCAAAATCTAAACCTTCGTAACGTTGAGGTATTGAATAATATTCATAAAATTCTTCGTGTTATTTTCATTGTATATGTTGTATGAATACGAGATGAACTTTCGCACTAATTATTAAATTTTAGAGAAATGACACACAAATTGAAAAATGATTTGAAAGTCTACAATTAAAAAATTTCAAACAGGAAGGAAGCCGCGCTGCGGGACGAAGAGCTACTCGTCGTCTGCTGCTGTGGTCGGCAGAGTCGGTCGCACGTCTGGCAGAGTTTGAAACCGTGTGGCCGAGCGTCATGCACGACATGGCACGGGATGCGCTAGCTGACTTTTCCAAACCTAACTACGGCAAACTCATGCTCGACAAAATCAAAGCAGAAATGCGCATAAATAAGTAATACTTGAATTCAACTTTGAATGAATTCAACATCGAATCCATCATTGTTCAAGTATGATCGATTTTAAAAATGCGACATAATTCCCTTGATACGTACCTAATCATACAAGAGAAGTAAAAGCTCATGCTCTATGAAAAAAATACAGAATAAAAGTATATCGACTGTTCGAAGCAATATTGTTTTGTAGTGCCAATTTAACATGCACGGCAAATATAGGCATTCAGTAAAAGATACTATTATTTTAACAAAAATTTTAAACACGCAATACGGTCATTTTGGAGGGGAAAATTTTGAGTGTTTTCTATTTTATTTAAAGCTACAGCTATTGAACTCTTCCTCGAGCAAATTTATTCCAAGTTAAAATTGTGCACAAAAAAAAAATTTGCCCGTAAAATGCCAGTCGATACAAACTTCGTATTCAATGCACACAGGAGGAACAAATAGTTTATAAATTCAGCACCGTAGCCCATGCTAACCCGGATTAACGGATTTAATCGGTAAAGGATTAAATCGAATTGAGAAAGTTTTAAACAATATAGGTACATTATTTCATATCACTTACTATCTGGGTGCAAATACGCGCGATTTTTGATAACGATCCTCATTTTATTTTACTAATTCAAGGCCTCCTACCGAATTTAGACTATCAGCGAAGAAGCAACATCAATTTTTTTTTTCTTTAATTGGTTGCACATGAGTAATGAATTGTTAAATAGTTGTGTAATTTTGAGTATTAATAAACCGTCTGAACGCTAACAATAACTTTCAGACCTATTCTCTTAATCAGGTCACATGATCTTCGCTTCAGATGCCCAACGAACAGCCTTTCGCTCGTGGTTTCGTATGACCTAAAAAAAACTATCTTACTGAGACGGCTAAGGTTAATGTAGCATTCACATTAATTATGATGTAAAATAATTTTTTTCAGACAATTAAAGGTGCTATTCATTGTCTCGAAGAGAATTAGTTTTTTGATGCTATTATATTTATTGAATCCGCGGGATAGAGAAGAAACTGTTTTCCTAATACTTATTACAATGTGGCTCATGCTCATTACAGTGATGACTATTTCGTCAATAGTCACGACAGTGCTTACAAGTCTCAAATATTCTTCGTAGTGATTCCAACTGCGTTGATTTCCGAAATGCATGGAATACGACAAACACTAAATTAAATACATTTTTATCTTGACTAAAATTGCATGAAATGATGGCTTATTGCAGTTTATTCGAACGCCTAACCTTAGATGCTGATCTGTCTGGAGAGGTGGCCTAGGTAGGTGGCGAGACGATCGTACGTGGCGTATCACCCACGGTCCACGGCACACCAACGTAGGGAGCGCAGCCGTGCACCACCAATTTTGTGCACCACCAATTTTGTGCACCAACAAGCCCTGAATCGAACGCCTTGGATCTCTCCGGACATCCACCAATCAGTTGTGAACCACTCGGCTTTGTCCACCTCCGGCCTGGCATAAAACCTGCCGTGCACCACCAGGCCGCGGATCGAATATGACCTCCGGGCATCGTTAAATTACGTAATTTTACGTTCACAGTATGGGTCGCCTGCCGAAGACCACCACTGCCCTGGATGTAATGGACCATCATGATTCCTGCCTTCCGGAACGTAGCCTTCAACACTTCAAGCCGTCCGTATCTAGGCCGTGGGTCGAACCAGCCCTCGGTCGAACGGCCACTTGGCGAAGGACGATAAATTTTGGAACAGAACTATGCTATCGGAAACCTAACCTCAGATGCGGTGAACGTAAAATTACGTAATTTAACGATGCCTGGAAGTCATGTTCGATCCGCGGCCTGGTGGTGCACGGCAGGTGGTGGACAAGGCCGGAAGAGGAAAAAGCCACCGTATCAAAATTTTGAAAAAAACGTTGCCAAAAACTCGAAAAAGAACCCGAAAGCCTTCTTCTTGTATGCTAGTTCGAAGAGTAAGACAAGGGACGGTATTGCCGATTTGAATGTAAATCAACGGAAGCTATCTTCTGACGAGGGCAAGGCCAATGTTCTAAATCAGTTCTTTAGCAGCGTCTTCACAGATGATGACTTGAACAGTATTCCAGCTATTGAGGAGCGACCAGTGGACTCGAAGTTAACTAGTTTCGAGATACATGAAGAGGAGGTTCTCAAGCGCATGGTCTCCCTGAATCCCAACAAGTCATCTGGATCAGACGGTTTCCACCCTAAATTGCTCAACGAATTAGCAACCGTCCTGGCCGGCCCTTTAACAGTATTCTTTCGAAAAACCTTAATCGAAGGGACTTTGCCGGCCGACTGGAAACAAGCCCAAGTGACACCCCTGTTCAAAAAAGGTGACAGGAGTAACCCAGGTAACTACCGTCCTGTAAGTCTCACAAGTGTTGTGTGCAAGGTGATGGAATCGGTTATGAGGGATAGGATTATAGATCACTTGACTGTTAACCATCTTCTATCAGACTGTCAGCATGGCTTTATTGCTGGCAGATCATGCACCACTAATCTCCTGTCTACCTGACAAGGCCATGCATAAGCATATGTTCAGTCTTAAAATGCCTCGTACCCTACGGAACAACTGATATCTAGAAGCGATTTTAAATCTACCGTCCGTAAGGCCAGTCAAGTCAAGAAAAGTACAAGAATCGGCGACAGGCCTATCCAGGCCTATTTATTTAATGCCGAAGATACTATACTATACTACTAAAGCCGAGTGGTGCACGGCTGATTGGTGTAGGTCCGGAGAGATCCAAGGCGTTCGATTCACGGCTTATTGGTGCACAAAATTGGTGGTGCACGGCTGCGCTCCCCACCGTATCTAAGGTTAGGTTTCAGATAGCAAAGTTCTGTTCCAAATTTATCGTCCTTCGACGAGTGGCCGTTCGACCGAGGGCTGGTTCTACACACGGCTTAGATACGGACGGCTTGAAGTGTTGAAGGCTACGTTCCGGAAGGCAGGAATCATGATAGTCCATTACATCCAGGGCAGTGGTGGTCTTCGGCAGGCGACCCCCAACGTATCTAGAACACGCAATTACGTTAATAGTAACTAGGCAGAGGTGTGCCATGTTTTAGTCCACAACAACCTAGCCAGCGTTAAAATCAGCTTTTCCCCACCGCTAAATGCTCAATTGAGAATGAAAGGAAGTTCCAGCCCCAACGCTATGTCGTCAGCTCCAGTAGAACTCAGTACCGTGAGATGACATTTTTCCGGTACTGACTAAAACCCGGACCCGGACTGGTCCGCCGGACCCGGACCGAGTGACTAAAACCCGGACCCGACCGGTCCGGCGGACCACGTTCAGAAAAATAAAAGGCTGCAAATCATCTGAAACGTCGAGAAAACTTGTAATTTTACATATAAAATTTTGATATTTACTTAGAAAAATTTCGTCGCACCAACATATTCGGGTAACAGAAAAGTTCATTTTTCGATCGAACTAACCGATAGAGAATGTTCTGAAACGTCCAGAAAACATAAAACCTGTGTATCGAATTTTTGAAAATTTACTCCCCGGACCTGACGTGAAAATTTTCATCGGTTGGCACTAATCATACCGGCCCCACTCAAGTAAGAGGTGATCGATAACTCCATCAACACCACAAGCATGGAAAAAAGGGAATCGGAAATTGGAAAACGACACAACGAAACAGGTGGGCATTTACCCCAGTGTAACCGAGATGGAGTGGGGCCACAACAATGGATACTCGCGAGACCAGCTGATGTCTCGAGTCCACTGATAGGAGTCACGAAGGGAGTGAGGGGGCAGGTTCAGCAAATAGGAGATGATTAATTTCATATTAATTGATTGAGCGATACACAGGCTCTAACACGAGATAAAAGCTTGGCTGAGAGAAGCGAGTGGCTAGAGAGCAGACTGGCAAAATCAGGCTGTGGATTGAATTGGTCTTCCGGACCAACTGGCATCGGAGCTCTTCTTAAATACACTGCAAAGCAAAATTATTTTTAAACTATTTTGAAACGATGAAAATATACCTCGAAGAATTATATGACTAGTATTATCAACAGATTGCAAATTTAGGTTTCAAGTCCCATAGTCGTTTTCGACGATGGCTGTTCGATCAGGGGCTGATTTCCTGCAATGGATGGATACAACAGGGTTGTGGCAGGCATAATATTCAAAAAGGTTAGCCACGCTATGTCTGATTGAAGTTGGTCATTATTTCACGCATTGACGGACGATTATAGGCACACCCGTCTTCCTCGCTGAGTGCTAGTTAGTCAAATGACTCTAATGATCTAATCCAATGGACGTGTCAGGGCTCACGATTCTCGAGGCCGAGAACGCGATTGTTTGAAGCTACCTTATTGATTAATAAATGAGATCAAGCTAGTCAATGGGGAGCTGGGCAGTGATGGTTTCGGGCATGTCACCTATTGAGGGAACATATTATTACTTCGATGGCAAACAAAACAAATTTTCAGTCAATAATGGACAAATCGCACGAGCAGTGGGAAGTTAAGGTGGGGACTGGAACATACGTTGATTAGTAACTGCGAGCCCACATGCTTATCGTTCAGTATTGGATCCAATGAATACTTAAAAATTCATAGCTCAAAACATATATTAATTTGCACAAATTTAATCGTTTGTGCGAACTAAGTAGCTTCCCAATAATTATTAATTAAATTTCATTTTTGACTCCGAGGATGTAATATATGATACCATGTTAAACGAAACGTCGACACGAAATAAAAACAACATTACACAGTTACATGAATATCAAATCTGCAATATGCATGTCAATCATGAAGCCACCGAAGGTTTAAAAACAGCCAGTGCAGCAGACAATAGTTATTTATTTCATTAACACGCAATAATACTTCTAGCCAGACCTACACTTCGCAATAGAGAGAAACAATTGAAAAAATAACTCTTCTTCAAAAAATAGTCAAGGCAAAGAAGTACGTAGAGGAACACTGACATCATCAGTATATCCTCATCACATCGCGCATGAAAATACGTGTTACTTACTGTACTGGCCCTCGGCAGCATTTGTCATGTGAACGCGCGTGTAGAACACGGAAAAATAGGCGAGTCAATGGCTGTGAACATGAGCTACTCGATCCCATCTACAACTTGAAAAAATTCAGTAATGCAGCATGTTCAGGAAGATGTTAAACAAATTCAACATCTCATCAGAAATATGATGAGACATGTGTGATGAATTAAGGGTTTTTACCCGCAACACAATTCTGTGACACATAAACTTTCGATCAATTGACTTCACATTTCACTGATTTGTGTTAGCAAGCTCAGGGTAAAAAGTTTGTTGCGTAAAATATTCTATTATTGCTGCGCCGAAGAAAGAGGTTTATCAAATTAACGTTTATTGCCTTTGGCTGGCAACAACATACAATAACATCCGTTTTCAGATTTTTTTTTCGTAGGACTGCGGTAGAAACTATCCTAAGATTACCCTATGTCACCATTTAAAAAGTAAACTACGCTTCATTCTACTCGGACAAATGAGAGAACTAGAGTGCACTTTAGCCCCATAATGACGAAACATTTTCCTCGCAGAACAAAACATTTTTCTCACAGAGAAAAATTGTAAATACTAAAAAGTTGTTCTATTGATACCCTAAAGAATAAGAACATAAACATTAAACCATGAGATATAAACATAAAAAAAAACTTTAAATTAGAAAAGCAGACCGAAAAATCAGTGAAAAAAGATGTACGAAATAGAAACAAACAACAGTGGCCCAAAATGGTAAAGTCAATGAGATGCAACGAAGAAGAGATTGAGTGACCATAAGGTATGTACAGTTTAAAATCAATTAGGCCTTAAAATAATGAAATCCTCTGTCATAATTAAGAGAATATCAGAAAACATAGAGCTATTGATGTGATTCGAAAAAAAGAAAGAGTGACTAGACGAAGAGAGTTTATTTAACCAATTAGAATATAATCATAAGTATAGTAAATAACCTGAATATCCCAGAAGGAATACAAAGAAATAGACCCAATTATTTATATACTTATTATTAGGTGATTGAATTTAATACCCAAATTAAAGTGCGTAAATTGCAGGAACAATGAAATAGCCGACAACGAATGAAGAGAATATATCAAAGAAAAGCAGAGCATTTCGAGTAAGGAGTTGAAATGAAAATCCGTAAACAAAATACGTCAGAGATTTAACCCAATGGTACAGTTTTTGAATAATACCGGCTTCCAAAAAAGAAATTAACAATTAAATGTAAATCCAAAATATGAAGCATAATACATATGGCAGATAATAATTTGCTAACAACAACGCCATCCCCGAAGAGTGCTTAACAAAGTAAATAAGAGGAAAAAAGGTAAACTCGAAATAATGAAGAAAAAACGAACCAAGTGGATTTAGTGTTTCAAAAAGCAACACAAATAATGCTAATGTAAATAAATGAAAAGAAGCAATGCAGTGCTCTAGTTACATCAAGTGCAAATTTGTATAATTGGCATAACATAGAACGGGGGTACAAAACAGATGCCAAACTTACGTTAAAGACCGATTTCAAGCGTAAGATACTAGCTTCGCGACGGAGGTTTCAATGGAGTACAACATATGCATCATTTCGAAGCTCATAAATGAGATACATCGCGCGGTGCAACAATGTAAGTATCATTTCGACACAACGATGAGTGACATGCATAAAATGGTACGACAACATCAGCAACATCTCGACAAAACGACGAATGAGATATACACATGGTACGACAACATCGGCATCATATCAGCGTCAAAAATCTTCTGTAGTTTGGATTAGAAGTTGCGATTCACAAATAATACATCGAGGTTACTTGGATTAGAAGAATTGCTGAGTAGCACAACTACGGCAAAGCTCGGCTGAGAGATGCTTGTCTTGATATAGCTTTTTCATAATCCTTGTCTTGATGTACTATTGACAAACATTAGTTTTATCACTTATGGTAACGCTAAAAGCAAAGATTAGTTAGCAGGAAAAACAAATACTGATGTTTGGAATTACATACGCCATGAGAGGCAAAATGCTCAATCAGCCTACGGAAACTCATTAAATACATTTGAACATTTATTGCTACGATTTCAAATATCGATAAGAGTCTGAAAGTTTCAGGTTCGATTAAGGACGTTACAACTTCATTTCTTTGTAGTAAAAAAAAGGAAGAACGATATTTGTCAAGAAATAGATTACCATTAAGTTACAAAAATATTGTTGAGAACACATGGATTTAGAACAAAGGAAGATAGCAGTGTCGAAGGGGAGTACGGTTAATAAATCGTGTAAATGAACATGATAGAAAATTTTCCACCGCCTCAAAAAGATCCTCCAAGCAGCAGTGGCTTCTCTGCATCGAGGGCCCTTCATTATAACTCCAATTTTACCCGCGTAAAATTTGTCATTACAGAAGATGACGTAGAGCGCTGACCATCAAACATTGATACACCACATCGATAAGAATACACTGCAATACGCTTATGTCTACGTAGAATATCCAATTCATGACTTAAACCGTCAACACTTACATATGCCTTGATCACTGAAAATATATATAAAGAATAATAACTCGCCATCCTATACAATTTAAGAACAATTACAATAAATTCTAGAACATTTCTCAGCTGAAGTCACAAGTTCAGAGCGTGAGACAAATTCACACACGCTGAGGTCACTTGCATCAAACTAGAGATTGCAATATCATTTGGCTTCAATCCTACTGACTTCCAAATGGTCAACAACACTCAAGCATAGAAAAAACAAGGAACTGTTCCACTATCCACTAATCTCTGGGGTCGATCGCATTTAAAAATGAAGATGGCAATGCTACAACAAAAAAATTGGTCACAAAAAAAGGTAGCTTTGAAAAAGCTTTGATTATTTTTTAACGAAGTTTCATGCATAGTATTCAAATCTTGATTCTTTTCATAGAACGGGCGATATTTAATCACTTTCCTAATTTTCACCGGACGAAAGACACCGAATCCCACACGAAGAATTCTAGAACATCAAGATGCATACCACAATAAAAAATTTTGACACCTAATAGCGATTCGCAGAAATACTTGGCAGATACAACTTCGAACGGTCGCAAATACGACTGCATTTACGGATAAGTGGTAGTAGAACAGTAGCTTAAAGGTATAAAAGCTCTTCAGCAGTCAATCCAGCACGTGAGGTCTTAATTAACATGAATGTTCACACATATAAATTCACTAGCAACCTACGTCAAACGACCTTTGCAGAAGCTGGCACAAAAGTAGCGTTAACATCTCAGAGAGCAAAGGAATGGACAGGTTAAGATCAATAGGAACAAAGACACTTGTACCAGAGAGCTTGCTGACACGAGACGTATATATGTCACCAGCAATTCATTTTTGATAAAATTTCTTAATTTACTACAAAAAAAATTTTTTTTGGAAGTCTGCACCTTGGTTGTAGGCCGAATTAATTCATTAAATGCTTTACACTAACAGGCTGAAGGAATCCAAAATATGGATGATGCAAGTCAGTTTGCGTGCAAAAAAATTCCGATACATTTTTATGTGAATCAATTTTGGAATAATTTAAAAGTATATATCAATGCGTTATCGTCAATTTTTACATCTCAATACTAAGGTCGAGTTTTGTCTGATATGTCATCACATTAACATCCTTATTATAATAAGATCTCCAGTTAATCTTGTTGAAAGCCAACTATTTCCAATTCAAAGTAGCTGAAAAATTGTACTGTTAAAAAATTCCGAAGAAAGAAATTTTTGCAAAGAGAAATAATTTTAAATCTTCATAACGAGCAAAAGAATTCATTTACTCAACTTTCTCACATTCAAACTGATGAGAGATATATTTATATATATATATACTCGTACCTAACAACAAATGTAATGGGATAGCGCAGCATGATAATGCGATTCAAACCTAGTAACTCTTCTTTTTGCTCAGGATTCACAACAACTCATTTTGTTGAATAAGTAAATATATGAAAAGATAAAATGACCCTAAATTGCCATTTTAAAAGATGTATTTATTAAAAACATAAAATACAAAAAATCGCAATAAAATAAGCATTACTTAGGTAAATTTTATATGGAACATAGAAGTACAAGCAGGGGTTTGCAAATATTTTATGAATTACCAAAATTTTTTTCAAGCAAGCTAGGAATTTCACACAAGGAGCCTTTATAACCTAGTCAAGTTAAGAATAACGATCCCTACAATAAAGAGACATGTTTTATGAACAAAACGAACAAATATAAACAAGAAAATCACCCCTGTATATACCTGAGCAGCCTAACTTAATATATCACTGAGTTGATAATATGAAAATTTTCTGGTAAGTGACAAGGACTGGCAAGCAAGGAATGGTTTTGGGAGAAGAAAAAGGAGCAACATTATCCAAAGTTGCAGCAGGAATTGGTCTTGCGGGCAGTCTTGTAGAAGGCTTTGGACTGCATACTCAGCATCTCGCTCTTGTTTACCAGGTCATCGAGCTTCTCACCTCTCTCGAGCACAGCTTCAATGGTGTTGTGCTGTCATGGACATAACAATTATGTCTTATAACAGTTAATTAATCTTTGCTGGAAATACAAATTACAAATAAGAAATTGTTCAGAATTTCCTAGTAGAGCATATAATTTGATCGTTAGTACCAAATGCAAAAAATGTATTTTTTTTCTAAACCAATTAGAACTTCAGCCACAGTAGTAGTGTTATGCAAACAAATTTCTACCATAGGTACCAAATGAACGAATGAATAAAACTAAGAATGCAGATGATGAATTAAAATAATAGAAAATGAATGAGCTGCTGCAGAATGATAAAAATGATTGAATAAAGTAGGTAATATTGACAGTAGGTAATATTGAACATGTATTATGCATAAATGTTAAGAATGCTAAGAATGCGGCGCCGTTGTTTCGAGACCGTGGGAAAGGTTGTTTACATTGAAACGTTGGCGCTCAGCGCGAGGGACATTCCATTCGAAGGAATGGAATAGGTTTCGAGGGAATAGGCTTAACTGTGGGCGACTCTAGCGTATATAAGGATCTCAGAATTGGCGCCAAGGGTTGTTGGTTCTAAGGAGTTGACCGTCGCGCACGTACGGTCTGCAGTTAGCGGACGTAACGGCTGCGGCCGTCCGGCCGGCGGTGTTACCGTTTTCGAACATTGACGGTCGCGAGAAACCCAGACTTATCGAAGCAGCCAAGATTCCTGTGAGCGCGTCAAACATATACAATGGACGGCTACGACTTTAACATATTATACGGTCAACATCATCACTACGGCTGCGACTCAGTCGTGAGACAACGCGAGCAGCCACGAGATGTACAACGATAATAACGCACGTCATCAGAAGATCCAAGTTTCGAGCTCTACACCAAGAATCATCAGTACGATACGGTCACGATTTCCATCAAGAAGAAGCAGTGCGATTGCATTCATCTTCAACGCGAGAAGCCACGATTGAGCCGAAGTAACATCATCAACGATGAAGACTACGCCACTATTCTGAAGTACGGTCGTTGTAAAACAACCTACGGCCAGACTGGCCGTGTGGCATCTATATCAACGAGATACGACAGCTATGAAAAAAGAGCAAATGTGAAGAGAGACGCGTGATACAGCTGCAGTACGGCCACCTGAAATACGGCTGCAGCGCATGGTGACAGCCGCGGTACGGTCGCGGAACGTACAGCCGTAAATATGTGCGCAAGTTACGGTCGTTTACAACATTCGTACGGCTCAACGGAACTGCAACGGATCACACGCTTTTTCCAGTAATATTAAATGATTTAATGATGTTAGCTTCGGACTTTTGATTGTGTGCGGATTACATTTTTCATGTACTAGAGATTTTTGTTAACGTAGGATGTGAACTTGAATTTCTCAATTTAATATGAAATGTATCAGTGTTTCATTAAAACCCTCTCTTTGTACTATATTTTGCTGAACCTGTCCAAAAAGAGAACCTTATTCACGTGCCAATCAAGTGCCACTCGGCAAACCACCTGACAAAACAATAAGTAATGAATACCGGTATCTTGAACCTGAACCTGAACGTAACGTAAAATTGGTGGAGTAATCACTCCGAGTCTCCAACTTTAAAATTTATGAGACGATAAGAAACGTTTCTCTTTTCTTTCCTATTTTTTTCCCCGATTTAATCAGATGTGCACAAGAAAACTATGGATCATAATTTATTTATGACAGCATTGTAAGTAGGTAACAGTTGAAGGATATAATAAAACCAAATGTTCAGAAGAAGGAAAAGAGGGAAAAAAAATATAACTCAGTACTCACTGCAGTGAGTGACAGAGCGCGCATTTTCTCGTCGACGAAAACTTGAGGTCACGGACAGACGGACATGGCGAGCACAATAGTGCATTTTTTCCATAAATGAGAAAATGCACTAAAAAATTGCCAATCTGTGCTTTGGATGCAGTTTTTTTGTGCTAATAACAATCCATGAAACCTCTTTTGAAAAGCGTCATAAATACTTGAGGGGACAAATGCAAGGAAAAATAAAGTAGGGAATGACAAACCAGTTTTACACAAATTTGAAGATCAAACAGTTCTCCCAACATGCAAATATATAATAGCTCAAAATGCAGATGATAATAGTCATTTAATATAAACCAACACTTATGGAGCAATAAATAATATATCTTTTTGTAAAACAAACCAATATTATTTTGGTGTCCTCAACTTCTTCCTGCACTCGAGTAATGGCATCAGCTTCTCTAGGGTTCTGCCACTTGGCCAGGAGAGCAGGTAGCTCTGTGAATGGTATGGCTGTCTCGTGGGTACCTGGCCATAAATGTGATGGCACTTTGGCTGCAAACTCATCCAATACCTGCAAGATTAAAGCACATCAACTCTGCAAGAAATTAGTTAATCCTGATTCTAATCTGACTTTACCATACAATCCTTAGGTATAAAACTGCTCAGATGAGATCAATACCAAACCCATTTCATTGCCGAGACATAAATTGTTTTTAATTCAAGAAATTTTCTGGGTTTCATGTCAAGAAATCATAAAGAAAATAGAGAAACAACTTGATTTTAATGAACAAAATTAAACTAATTACATATGAAAAAAAATTAGATGTCATAAATTAGCAAGAATAATTTTAAATTTCAATTATATTGCAGCAAACAGAAAAGAAGCCACAAGAGCTTCTTGGTGAGGCCAAAAAAAAAAAAGAGTTAAGTAAATGGCAAAAGATACTAGAAAACATTCTCTCAATACAATAGAAGCTAAAACAGCTGCTTCTACATAGATGAGAAGGAATACAAAACCTTACTACTAAACAACTTGACCCATAGCTATGACTTGCCACTGCATAAGTAGATCTACTTGAGGGGGTAACACAACTGAAAGACATGCAATACTCACCTTATCAATCATAGTGTGTGCTACCCTGTATTGATATTCATGATCAGAAACGACTACACCAGCAAGACCGTCGCTACGTACAAAAACATGGCACATGTATTCTGAAAAAAAAGAGAATTAATTGATTAAAATAAAAACTGATTAATTATGGCACTGAATGGGCTGAATAATTTGAAACTTCAGAAGCATTCACAAGATAATTTTTATATGATTTGACAAGTAGGGATGCTAGTTTGAATTCATAAAATAAGTAATAAATTATCTGGTATTACTATTTTGCTTCTAAAATCTTTAAAGCAGGCTTACCTTGTTCTTTAACTGATTGCCTACTCCCTACAGCACATCTCTCAGTTATGATCTTAGATGTGAAAGCCATAAATTCTTGAATTGAAGATCGCTGAAAAAAGCTGAATTGTTGTAAATCATAGGCAGCTTTCAGCGTAGTTGGAGAAACGTCTGATGTTGGTTTGTACAACACGCTTAAGGCAAATAGTTTGACCATGATTGCAATCGTGATAATTCCTACACAAACTATCTATGATTGGACTCCCTGAAAATTTGAAATAAATTTTAAACACAGCATTTGGAACATGTAAATATTTTGGAATGAAGTTATTTCAACACAGACTTTTGTTGAATTGTCACCAATTGATTTTATCCAATGAAGATATCAGTACATTTGATGAAATTAATCCTTTCAAGGGTGAGTTACCATATTTGATCACCTAAAATCTTTCAAAAAGACCACCATGGCCCTATGTTTGCGTTTTAGGCTAGGTTATCATACCTTGGCCAAGCACCAATCATCTGACCATAAATGTGATTAAATTGATACTACTACATATTTCTGCATTTTTATAAAAAATAGAAGTAGCAATACTCTATTTCAAGTTTTAAAGGTAGCAGGATTGAATTGAATTAAATTAGAGTTAGATTGTTACTCATTACATTTGTATTCTTAAATTTGACTGATATAAAAAACCCAAGTTATAATAACTTATTTAATAATAGTTAAAAGTTTCTTGCACTGGTTTCCAAACTTTAAATTTATGCATATTTCTTTGCTTGACTGCAGATGGGTTAGCTGAATAATATTCAGTTTAAACTTATAAGTACAGTTCTAATAAAATACTTAAAAAAAACTTTTTAAAAAACCACGTTTTTCTTGTGGACTAAAAAGTAGAAAATAAATTATGGCTCGCCCCAAAAAAAGTGTGTCGGGCAGATTGTTTTTTTTAAGTATTTTATTTTCTCCTTTTTAGTCCGTTGCTACACATGAAAAACGTTGTTGCGAGCCAATTTACTTGCCTTGACATACGTATCGATGATACGCATCGTTAGCGCCTGCTCGTCTATAACGTCAGCGCCCGCACGTCATACTATATATATACTTTTTATATATACTTTACTCAATTAAGCTAATTTAGGTCTCTAATTGCTAGTTTTTATGATTGTATCTGAAATTGTTAGGCAAAAACAGCCTGCATGCCGAATTTCAGATCTCTAGAGCAATCAGAAGTGGGCTAATTTTCGTTGTCAATGTTAACAACAAACAAACAAACAAACAAACAAACAAACAAACAAACAAACAAACGCAAAGCTAAGCTAAGAAAAACGTTTTAAAATGAAAGTTTGCCTTCCAGTAAATGTGGAAACAGAAAAAACAAAAACTCTTGATAAGGTAATGTTTGTTAAATTCAAGTCATGGTAGCAGAATAAAATCAAAAGCTAAATATCAGGAAACCTTGAATTCTTGAGACTGAACTGCATGCTGTTCCCATGTCAACTGCGGGGGGATTAACTCATAACCCACGTAAGTGAAGCTTATGGAAGATTTTCTATATTTTGCAATCTGCTAATTCTTGAATATGAGAATTTGACTATGTAAGGCTAGAACTTAGAAGGTAGCAATGTTTGCTATAGATTAAGGGGAGCATCTAGGACAAAAATAAAAAATTTCGGATTTCCTGTTTTTAAAGCTGCACTTTTGACCCATCTAACAGTACCAAAATCATCTCTGTACATTGATTTACGCATTCACAACAGATCGCAAAAAGGTTACATTATGCCGAGCCTTTAACAATTGCCTATGGGGCAAAATTAACTCCCTTCACATATATGTGCGCTCTGTCGGCATGGAGATTCAGTCACCCCCAAGCTATCATGCTGGCAAGTGCTCATGCAATCGTTCTCTGCATCTCTGACTGACTTCTAACTAAATAACGCCTAACTTTAGCATCCTAGCTACAATAAATGCCTATATTTAGCGCATGGTGACCTGTGGGCGGTCCATCTGTTCTGCTGAAAACTCGCACATCCTCTCACTGCACACCCATCTCCTACAGTTTTCAAGCTACAGCATTGTGAGATATACCATTCAATTTACAAAGAAAATATCTAGAGAATTTTTTTTTTTTTTATAATTTCATTATGATGTTTGCAAAAAGAAGGAGGGGGGGGGGCAGGGAGAAAATTGAAAAATTTGTGAAAAATGCCCCTCCACCCACAAAAATGAGAATTTCAAGAAAAGCACGTGATAATCTTGAAAAAAGCATCTCGATAATGTAGCTTGAAAATCCTAGGAGATAGATTTCTACAGTAACCCCTTTTTGGCCTTTTCTAAGAATTTCACATTTTCTTTCATTTTTTTCAACATCAAAAAAAGTATTAGATTTTGGTTTTACACATGTGTAGCAAGTTTCAAAGTGATCTGTCTGTAAATGAAAAAGTTACAATTTGACCTAGAACGCCCCTAAACCCTTTCACGTGTAAGTTTCCATATATGATCACTTAAAATTGCCTTGAAAAAAGCCGCACAAGGGCTCCTATTTGTTTTTGAGGCTTCCTTATCATACCCCAGTCAATCACTAATTATTGGATGGTCAGACCATCGTTCTGTCTATAGCATCACCACCTGCAATGCCCATAAATTAAAATATGAGCATTTAAACAAAAGTTTTGACTCAGATGATGGAATTGACCACCTTTAGACATTTTTCCATAAGGTGGTAGTATTAATATATATTTATTTGTATCCAGTAACTTGAATAAATTGAATTAAATTAAATTGTTATGGTAATAACTTTTTCATTTGAATAAATTAATTTTAATTACTATATTAAGAAAAAAATTGTGTACCAACTGCATTAAATGAATTCTTCAAGTGCGATTTAAACCTTCAATAGACCAAGTTTTTAAAAATACGTATGAATAATTATTTCATATAATAGTTCTTATACTCTCTTGAACTGGTTTCTGAAATTTTAATTTCTGGATATTTCAATGCTTGCCCGCTAAAGGGTTACCATCAAACAGGGTAATAACTAATAAGGCACGGCTTTGAGAGTTTTTTGTCAATAATTTTTTACCATGAAACATTTCATAAGCAAAGCATCCTGAATTATGCCTGGGAACAGGGTAATCCAGGAAATTTGAAATAAAACTTGATTTTAAAACGTTTGTAGCATGCAGAGTGTACTAATCTATTACTAACAGTAATCTGAAGTCCTCCTTTTCCATTGAAGATGATGTAGATGTAGAATAAATGACATTTTCTGTGATTTTTATTTCTTTTTCCCTTATTGTTATGATATTAACATATCCATATTACCATATATCCAACAACCTTGTCCACTGCAAGCTTACAGAACAGCTTGTAATCTCACACCATTTTAATTGGGTCAATTGAATTCACCATAACAAAAAAGATCATAAAAACATACCTGAAACAGAGAGGAATATTCTAGTGACAATCATCATACTTTTTGGAGAAATAAATCATAGTTTAGGTTAATTTCTTTTCATTTTATGTTGACCTATGCCCAAATCTATCTATGACCTTCTCTGCACGATTTTGTGATGACCAATGACACATTAATTTTTGGTTATGTGAATTTTTTTTGCTGAGAGAGGTAAATATAATCAAAATTTTAGTTGTTAATTGATTTTCTCATTAATTGGAGTCTTTCTTAATTGAGGTTCAACTGTAAATGCATTTTTAGGGGTGTCCCTTATATATGGCCTTATTACCCTGGGGGGTTGTCCCTTATTACCCCATCCTGAGGAAATGACCACCATTTTTTTGGAATGAGATATGAGAATTCTGTCAATTACGTTTTTAAGCCAACACCTGTGTGCAACTTTTATGTAAGTAAAATTTTTTGATACAGCAAATATTTTTTTTTTGCTACGGACCTTAGCAGAGGGACGTTTCCAAAATCTCACTTTTCACACTTTTTTCAGGGATTTTTTAGAGGTAGTAAATGTATGACTTCTTAACTTACTTTATTCTACAAATCTACATAGACAGTAAAAATCTTGAACTTTATGCAACTATTTATAGTTTTGCAATAATTTGATTAGTTTAGCTGCTACAACATTTCTACAAAATGTGGGACAAGTGGACATGTCCCGATTTACCCCACCCGTCCTTTATTACCTATTTGATGCATAATGGGATCATGATGTCATCATTGTCATGTTATCCAGATTCCAGACTGTGATTGGCTAAGCAATGGGCATTCCATACTGCCATTGGTCATTTAATTAAAAACCCCCCTAGAATTGAGTGACGGCAGCCTTATCACCGGCAGTCCTCCAGTGACTTCTGCCAACTTGCCAAGTCAGGCTATGCCAGACAAGACAAGAAGGTCATTTAGTGATTATTTTAGTCAAATTAGTCTTAGTGTTGGGTGTTGGCAAGTTAAAGGTTTCAGAATCAGGAATGTAGTTTGAGTACATTGAGTTGTTTGGCATGCATAGTGACAACTGACAAGTCACAGATTTTTTAGAATCAGTTAATTTTAAATTTCCTCATTTACTCAAGATTTAAAACAATTTCTTATATATGATATTGATGGCAATTGGCATCCCTGTCCCCTGATACTTTACTGCTTACTGGTCTACTCATAGTCATAGCAGTCATTGAGTCATAGGACTTAAAAATTAAACTTGAAGAGTCTAAAAAAAGTCTCTGCTTTGTCAGCTTTGATAATTGATAGTTGACAATTTGACACTTGACAGTATGCTTGGCACTTGGCAGTGACATCAGACACATACCTTCAGCAACTGGCAATGATTGGCTTAGCAATTTGGCTACATGGATCAGCCTGTGAATGCCTTGATTGCTTATGAGGAGTTCTCAGCTCTGTAGTCTGTATGAGGGCGCACTGCCTCCTTTTGGTAGCTTCCGGCAACGCATTGGCATTCATGAGATCATTGAAATTATGAGACAAGGACTAGGAACTTCATGCCTCGAACTTTTGCTCCTCACACCTATCCTATCTATACTAACGAGGTTGAATATCTAAACTAGCTACATACATGATATATTTTGGCAAATGGCAATTGCACAGTTGGGCACAGAGGTGCAAAGCGACTTTTACGTCCGTTGTCACTCGTCATCCTTTCTTTCTAATTTATTCTTATAGGAGCACTGGAAGCTAGTCCATAAAGCCCCTTGCCTAAACTGGGTTTAATTGGTACCTAACAATCTAACAGCTCTGAAAGTTAAAATCTGAAACAAAGAGAGAACACACACACACGGAAAAGA